ATACATGGGAGAACTAGTAACGACGGCGGAAAAAGCTGCAAGAGAAGGTAATATGAGACAACTATATGATACAACGAAGAAATTGGCAGGGAGATATAGCAAACCAGAGAGACCAGTCAAGGACAAAGAAGGAAAGACAATCACTGAGATTCAAGAACAGAGGAAAAGATAGGCAGAATACTTCGAGGAACTGCTGAATAGACCAGCCCCATTGTACTGAGAATTCTATATTGTACCAAAAATATAATATTTAATAAAGTTAATAATAATAAAACATCGAAGCAGCACACACTGACCTTCCTATAGATGTCACCCCACCAACGATCGAAGAAGTCAAGATGGCCATCACACAAATCAAAAGTGGGAAGGCGGCAGGACCTGACAATATACCAGCAGAAGCACTGAAGTCAAACATTGAAATAACTGCAAACACACTTCACCTTCTATTCAAGAAGATTTGGGAAGAGGAACAAGTGCCAACGGACTGGAAAGAAGGATATCTCATCAGGATACCAAAGAAAGGAGATCTGAGCAAATGTGAAAACTACAGAGGCACCAGTTTGTTATCAGTACCAGGAAAAGTTTTCAACAGAGTGCTGCTGAATCGGATAAAAGACGCAGTAGACGCCGAACAGGCTGGATTCCGTAAGGATAGGTCGTTCACAGACCAGATTGCTACGGATCATCGTTGAACAATCAGTTGAGTGGAACTCATCACTGTACGTCAACTTCATTGACTATGAGAAGGCGTTTGACAGCGTGGACAGGAGAACATTATGGAAACTTCTTTGACACTACGGAGTACCTGAGAAGATTGTCAACATTATCCAGAACTCATACGATGGACTACAGTGCAAAGTCATGCATGGAGGACAGTTGACGGATGCATTTCCAGTAAGGACCGGAGTCAGACATGGCTGTCTACTCTCCCATTCCTCTTCCTTCTAGTGATTGACTAGATTATGAAGAATTCGACATCTGATGGGAAATACGGAATACAATGGACAGCTCAGAATCAATTAGATGATCTCAACAGCATCTGCCGCACTGATAGATGCTCGAAAACTCATCCCGCCTGGATCTCAACATAAGGAAGAGCGGAGCCAGCTTAAGCGAAGGCTAATAAGAAGCCTACGCAATGATCGTGAACAGTGGTGGGTAGCGAAAGCAAGAGAGATGGAAAAGGCAGCGGTAACAGCAGACAGATATTCAGACTTATTAAAGAAACCGGCATTAGGAACCCAACTATTAGCGAAACTATTTCAGACAAAGATGGACATGTCATTCATTCTCAATCCAGGAGATTGGATCGATGGGCAGAACACTTTAGGGATCAGTTCAACTGGCCTTTAGCCACACTTCAGTTACCCACGATCCCCAGTCGTTCTGAATGGCAAATTGAGGTAAGTCCTCCAACTCTCTACGAGGTAGAAAAAGTTATAGGAAATCTAAAGCGAGGGAGAGCCGCAGGCCCTGACAGGTTTACCCTTGAGATTTTTAAGGATGGTGGTCCAGTACTAGCAACAAGATTGACCGAGGTCTTAGGTAGAATCTGGGAACTGGACGTAATTCCATCTGACTGGTCCCAATCACTGACTGTGCCAGTCTATAAGAAAGGACAAAAGTCCTCCTGTGACAATCACAGAGGAATCAGTTTGACTAATATAGTGTCTAAAATATTAGCTTCAATAATACCTGGACGCCTAACCAAAGCTAATGAAGAGCAGACTAGAGAAAACCAGGTTGGTTTCCGACCTGGACGTGGTTGCATAGACCAGATATTCACTCTACGTCAGGTTCTAGAACATAGACATACATTCAGACGTCCCCCAATCGTAGTATGTTTTTAGAGATATCACGTTCATCATCTCAATCTCCAGGAGTTGAATACGCCGACGACATAGTTTTATTTGATGAAGACGCTGACAAAATGCAGTCTTCTGACCACTATAAGCAACTATGCAGGCATGTTCGGGATGCGATTCTCTCCCTCGAAGTGCAAAATGTTACTTCAGAATTAAGTTGCATCGGCACCTGAACTAATGATAGGGAACGAAGTAGTTGAGCGTGTCGAGCGCTTGACTTATCTCGGGAGTCTCATCAGCCCGTGTGGTCTGGTGTGTGACGAAATCTCAGCACGGATACAGAAGGCTCGTCTAGCTTTCGCCAACTTGCGTCATTTATGGCCTAGGCGAGATATCCGTCTAGCAACCAAAGGACGGGTGTACTGTGCAGCAGTTCGTTCAGTCCTCCTTTATGGCAGTGAAACATGGCCGGTAAGAGTAGAGGATATTCGTAGGCTACTAGTTTTCGATCATAGATGTCTTCGAAGCATTGCTCGTATATCCTGGGACCACCGGGTAAGTAATGCAGATGTTAGGAAACGGGTACTAGGTAAGGATGGCAAATCGATTGATGAAGTAGTGAAACTTCATCAGTTGAGATGGCTGGGACATGTGTTACGTATGTCCAACCACCGACTGCCCCGACGTGCAATGCTTTATAGTGTAGGAGTAGGTTGGAAGAAAGCTAGGAGCGGCCAGACCAAAACGTGGCTCAATCCCATGAAGTACCTGACAAGTGGACTGAGCCATGTTGGTAGGTGTAGACTACCTGGTTGGGATTCGCGAGATGATAGCAACCGATGGTTAGAGACCTTGAATGACATGACTCAAAATCGTTTGCAATGGCGAAGGTGCATCCACTGTTTGTGTTCAGCAAAATTCTAATCTTCTGAATTCCTCATATCCCTATCCTTTTTCTCTTTCCAAATTTATTTCACTGTATTATACTCCTTCAATAACATCTTCAAACCCTAATCTTTCACATAATGCTTATACTCTTACTACTTCTACCACTATGGGATTTGAATCGACAACTTCATCTCTGTGCTAATGTGGTATGGCAACTCGAATTGATGTACGTACGTACGAAGTTCTACGTTGTAACTGACTGACTGACTGAATTAGATGACTAGGACTTCGCAGATGACCTAGCCCTCCTCTCTCATACACACGAACAAATGCAGATGAAGACAGGAAATGTAGCAGCAGCCTCCGCATCGATAGGCCTCCACATTCACAAAGGAAAAAGCAAGATTCTCAAATGCAACACGGAGAACACCAACCCAATCACACTTGATGGCGAAACTCTGGAAGAGGTGGAAACATTCAAGTACCTGGGGAGCATCGTTGATAAACAAGGAGGATCGGATGCAGATGTAAAGACGAGGATTGGCAAAGCAAAGGCAGTATTTCTACAATTGAAGAACATATGGAACTCAAAACAACTCTCAACCAATTTCAAGGTCAGAATCTTTAATACGAACGTCAAGACAGTCCTACTGTATGGAGCTGAAATGTGGAGAACTACTAAGACCATCATCAGGAAGGTACAAGTATTTATAAATAGTTGTCTACGTAAAATACTCAACATCCACTGGCCGGATACTATCAGCAACAGCGTTTTATGAGAGAGGACAAACCAGCTTCCAGCTGAAGAGGAAATTAGGAAAAAACGTTGGAAGTGGATCGGACATACATTAAGCAAATCACCAATGTGCATAACGACTCAATCCCTAACTGGGAATGGTGAAGGGAAGCGGAAAAGAGGAAGGCCAAAGAACACAGTATGCCGGGAAATAGAAGCACATATGAAAAGGATGAATAGTAACTGGAAAGAACTGGAAAGGAAGGCTCAGGACAGAGATGGATGGAGAATGATGGTGAGCGGCCTATGCTCCTCGACGAGGGGTAACAGGTGCAAGTAAGTAAGTAAGTAATCACACGTTTCAACAACATTTTCAACACAAACACTCACCCACACCCACACTCACAACGCAGATCTATGCAACTATTCAGGTATCCTGTCAATCGTTATCAAGTCGATTTCAACAGCGTCGCATACGTACCACGTGAAATCCATCGAACAAAGCCAAGTGTGAATTATTGCTCTTTCATGTACGTACACAAACACACACACACACGTACACAACAAATACTAGTAAACTGTTTCGATTGAACTACTTGATATCGGGTGTGAGCACGTGTTTGCTCAGAATGCCAACTTCCACGAGTATAAATACTGTGGTTGAATGTATCCAGTCAGCAACAAGTTGACAACAAACGACAATGCAAATCTTCACTGTATGTTGAAATACTGTTGTGTGTAATAATATATGCCTGATCGGTGTTTTTATTTCAGCTCGTCTTAGTTGTACTGGTCGTGTCATTCGAATGTCACAACTCAGGTGAGTCTTATCTTACTCGATCGCATAACATGAAATTGCCACTAACTGACAAGTAATTACAAAAGTATCTCACTTGCTGATTCAGTCTTCAGCTAAACACAACAGTGTTGTGTCATGTGTTCAAGTGAAGCAAAGTGGATTGATGCGAATTCAAGAGGACTGAAACGAATGGTAATGCACTGTGTTGTCGATTTGTGGAACAACATGTAGTGAAGTGACCAGAGTTGAAGTGGGCTGAATAGAGGTGTAGGCATATAATTGTTTTGTTTTGCTCTGTCATACTCCATGTGAATCATATTGTGACGTTGTGTTATTTCATTTTCAGTGATTGCAGAACCAGCACCAGACAGTCAGGGTGGTTGTTGTCCTGGTGCATGTCCTCAATGCCCTAGATGCTGTGGATGTCGTGGATGCCGAGGTGGAGACTGTGATGGAGGCTGCTGCAGAAACTGTCGTCGTGATTAGCACAACACTAACACCCATCTCCCTTCAACATCCAATGACGAGAACCCACCATCAAATATGTAGTTTATAATCTCTCTATCAAATATACGTGTACTCTTACAAAACTAACAATGTTTCTCTTTTCCCTACAAACTGTCCAGTCCCATCTTTGTCCTGCCACACCCCATCTCCAATCAGTCACTATTGTGTGCGAAAACTGATCACATGGTCAGTGCTCAATCAACACTTCAATAAGTAACACCACAAAATCACCACCACATCACACCACACAACACAACACAACAACCCATCCACACTCACTCACTCACTCTCACACTCACTCATACACACGCATACTCACTGACTGGAACTTGAAGAATACTACATAAAACACTTTTAACACAGAAATTGAAATGTCTTATAATCTCCATCCTTCAAGTAACGATGGTTTTATTATTGTGTTTGACGAAAATATATCAACTATAAAAATAATGAGTTAATACGAAGCAACGTTAATATGTTAGTACGCCAAGCGTAAATTACACACGCAAGGAAAATATACATGACGTTACTTAAATTGTCAGGTCCCGTAATCCACAGTTAGTAATTTCAACTATAATTACCATAATCCGAGATGTAAATCTAGATAAAGCATGTTCTCAGTTTTCAGCAATAAGGATAGTAGGTTGGTGAACCCGTGTTAATGCTGACAGTTCGCCTTCCAGTGAAGATCCAGCTTCTCCTTGAAAATGTTCGCTGATTGGCTGATAAAAATTTTCGGGTAGGCGTTTCAGTCATTGACAACTCGGTGAGAAAAACGGGACCCCACCTTTAGTTTATTAGATGGCGGTTTGTGGACCTTCTTGCTATAACGTCGGAGATTATTACTGCTGGAGAGAGCAAAAAGATAAGGCATATTAACACCCGGATCCTAATTAAACACACAAAATACCAATACAAGGTCGCGTTTTAAGAGCTCATCGTAAGAGAGTTTAGGAAGACCCTTTACTAATTTTATTCTTACACGCTTAAGTCAGCTAATATTCTTCATCAGAAATGAGACAGCTCCTTGGATACAGTACTTTAAGTGTGGTCTTACATAGGTGGGATATAAAATTCGAAACATCTCGTCAAAGCATTCGAATACTCGGCGAAGTGACCGTAGCGCACTAAATTGTTTAGCAACTGCTGCGTTGCGTAGTTCTTTTCAAGTTGTAACCTATTATTACTCCTAAGTCTCTATGTGCCCCCAAATGCCCTGGTACGGTCGAGAATGGGGAGAGTCCACTCTCCCTCTCGAAATGCTCTCACATGGCCACGCGAATATATAGCCTCTGCCAGGGAAGTCCTACTCACTGCCTTCTCGTGGCGGGGGTGTTGTTTACGAAAGTGAGATGACGAAAAGCGAATGTCCGGCGCTATAACCGGATTGGTGGACACGGAGGAAGCCCGTCGGTCTACTCCGGGTGACCGTGAGTTTGACCACAAACGAAGACTGTTACGTAGTGAAATCGGGCAAAGCTTGCGTAAGGACCGGGAAACCTGGTGGTCGGAGCGTGCTAAGGAGATGGAAGCAGCAGCTGCATCTGGCAACTGCCGGAAGTTCTTCCAACTCATCCGAGCCACTGGCAGCAAGAAGTCTGGTCTGAGTGAAACAATCTACGAGGATGATGGGATGCCAATCACTAACATCTCCCGACGTCTTGGACGATGGGCGGAATTCTTCGAAAGGGCAGTTCAACTGGCCTGCTGCTCCGGCAACATCAACCAGCTTGCCCTGCGCTCCATGGCCGGTGACGACTGTTCCACCAAACGAGGCGGAAGTCCGCAAGGAACTCCAACTCTTGAAGCGCTACAAACCACCGGGCCCAGATGACTTACCTCCGGCTCTTTTTAAAGATGGTGGTGACTTTCTGACTAAGGAATTGACTGTATTGTTTGGAAAGGTTTGGGAGCAAGAAAGTGTTCCAACATCTTGGAATGAGTCAATAGTCATCCCAATCTTTAAAAAGGGTTCACGTTGTTCCTGCAATAACTATCGGGGGATAAGTCTACTTTCGATTGCGTCCAAACTATTGGCTTCTATCATTCTTCGTAGGTTGTTTAAAACCCGAGAACGATTGACTCGCAAGGAGCAGGCTGGTTTTCGTTCTGGTCGAGGATGCATTGATCACATCTTCACCCTCCGCCAAATGTTAGAACACCGTCATACTTATCACAGGCCAACAATCGTAGTGTTTCTTGATATCAGGGCGGCCTTCGATTCGTTGGACAGGACTGTACTCTGGGATTGTCTATTGAGGAAGGGTGTGCCTGAGAAGTTCATTAACATCTTAAAGGCCCTGTATACGAACACCTCAGGCAGAGTAAGGGCATAAAACCACCTTTCTCCCTTGTTCCATTCAAGCAGTGGGGTTAGGCAGGGTTGCCCGATCTCACCATTCCTCTTCAACTTTGCCATCGACGACATCCTGGAAACAGCTCTGGTGGATGTAAGTAATGGCGGTGTGGATATGTTACCTGGAGAACGACTTCTCGACCTTGAGTATGCGGATGATATCGTCTTACTGTGCGATAATGCCCAAGGCATGCAATCAGCACTTAATCAGTTGGCAATCAGTGTCCGCAGGTACGGCATGTGCTTTGCACCCTCCAAGTGCAAAGTACTCCTACAAGACTGGCAGGATTCTCATCCTGTACTCACCCTGGATGGTGAGGAGATCGAAGTAGTTGAGAAGTTCGTGTATCTAGGTAGCTATATAAGTGCTGGTGGTGGCGTCAGTGATGAGATTGATGCACGTATAATGAAAGCCAGAGCGGCTTATGACAATCTGGGCCATCTTTGGCGCCTTCGTGATGTTAGTCTGGCTGTAAATGGTCGGATCTACAACGCGTCGGTGAGAGCAGTTTTGCTCTATGCTTGTGAAACCTGGCCTCTCCGAGTTGAGGATGTTAGACGTCTCTCTGTGTTCGATCATCGTTGTCTCCGAAGGATTGCTGACATCCAGTGGCAACACCATGTTAGTAATGCAGAGGTTCGGCATCGTGTGTTCGGGCGCAGAGACGATAACTCAATTGGTGTCACCATCTTGAAACACCGACTTCGATGGCTTGGACATGTTTTACGAATGTCGTCCCAGAGACTTCCACGTCGTGCATTATTTGCCGACTCTGGGACTGGTTGGAAAAAGCGGAGAGGAGGTCAGTGTATGACATGGTGTCGTGGCATGAAAGTAAGCTGCAAAGGGCTAGCTTCCGTTGGTCCTTCACGACTCCCTGGTTGGGGTCCGAGAGATGGTGCAACACAGTGGCTGTAGACGTTATCAGATATGGCTCAGAATAGAAGCCAGTGGCGATCCTGCTGCAACCTTCTTTTACTTTCTACAAAAAGAGTGGTGCTAACTTTCTTAACTGAAAGAGTCTTCTGGTTGTACATTTCAGTCCGCCTTATCTTTTCATCCCTTCTCTTCCTACTTTCATTATTTTGTGTGGCGCATATGTATCTGGTGCCCTTTTGTACCAATATATATGTGTTTAAATAAAATAAAATAAAATAAAACAAGGAAAACGGATAATTATAACAATAACAATGACTGTTACCAGATGCAGTGGCTGCTTCCATCTCCTTAGCACGCTCCGACCACCAGGTTTCCCGGTCCTTACGCAAGCTTTGCCCAATTTCATTACGTAACAGCCTTCGTTTGTGGTCAAACTCACGGTCACCCGGAGTAGACCGACGGGCTTCGATCAGTTGTAAGGAGCCAGAAGAGACCCAGTGCTTGTAAGCGGGACGTTTCGCGAAGCCGCAAGCGGCTTTACTCGCCATTTTCATGGCGTCGTGAAGATACAACCAATGCTCATCTATACTTTTCGGTGGGGTGGTAGCTAGCCTAGAGGCTAGCTCCGCTCGATACTTACTTGCAACAGAAGTTGCAGCCAGTTTACTAATATCAATCCGTTGGTGGTGGTCAATCCTTCGGCCACTGAAAAGTAAGGTGAGATTGGCGCAGACCAGGGCATGATCAGACTCCAGATAGGTTCTACAAAAGGAGCGGCAGTCTTGTACACAACCACGCCAGCGGTAGCTGATCGCGATGTGATCAATCTGAGTCCAGGCTTGGGATGCAGAGGGAGGACGCCAGGTGGCACACCGGCGATGACTGTGCCGGAAGTTAGTGCTGGCCAGAAACAGGTTGTGGTCTGTGCACAGTTGCAGCAAACGGTCCCCGTTATCTGTCCTGCGACCAACAAGTCCCCATCGGCCACCTAAACGACTCTCTTCTATGCCTAGACGCCCGACCTGTGCATTCAAGTCTCCGGCTAGTACTACAATATCTGTCGAACGCGCTTTCTGGAGAAGAACTGTTAACTTATGGTAAAACTCATCCTTGATTGCATCCGGGCTGCAATCTGTCGGGGCATAGGCGGAGATGACGAAAAGACACCGTTTCTCACGCCGATTTCTTCTCACTTTGATGGAACTTTCTAATCTAACAGCACATAACCGACTGTTAATGGGGATCCAATCGATTAGTGCTGCCTCAGCCCTAGCGCTTAGTGCGACACCAACGCCAGCAAGACCAGACGAAGATGCCACATGGTCCCCGGATAAGCGCACGTGGAACAAGCTTTTCGAGGCGACAGATTGAGAGCGGATTTGTAGTACTTCACTAGAGTCTTGAATACGGGTCTCGGATAGACAACAAACATCAACATTAAGACCTTCCAAAGACACAGCCAGGCCTATCTGTTATCTGATATGCATTAGTGTGCGAACGTTGAAGGAAGCCAGCTTGAACGGCGTACGTGGTTTCAGAAAGACTGCTTCAGTATTCATTATCGGTGGAAGCATTCAATTTCAACCAGACAGTGACTTTAGATCGTTTAGATAGGACAGATTTTCCACCATGGGCGAGCTGCTGCATAAGTTGAAAAGTAAGGTTACACAAATTGGGGATAAAAGGGGGTGAGTTAGCGATATAGTGAATAATAATAATAATAAAGGTAATAATAATAATGTAAATTGTCTTGCTTTTAGTATGAGCGGGGATATTATCGTCAATAGAGTTCATCATTTCATTCATTTGTGTGGGCTGTGATGCTGCCCGGGTGCCCAAACCGAAGCAGGTGGTTTTCTTAGGGGACCACACCCCGAGGCTTTGACCTAAAAGTCTGATCCACAAGGCAGTGGAGCATCGTGAGGAGATGCAGTCTCATGTTAGCCGTTGACCAATGATAGGTTCTTCCGCCATTCGTTCCATCAGGATCCTGGAGCCCATGTGCACCATTGATTTGGATACAGGGTTTTCCAACTCCCCTAGGTGGACCCTCCGTGTCCACCAATCCGGTTATAGCGCCGGACATTCGCTTTTCGTCATCTCACTTTCGTAAACAACACCCCCGCCACGAGAAGGCAGTGAGTAGGACTTCCCTGGCAGAGGCTATATATTCGCGTGGCCATATGAGAGCATTTCGAGAGGGAGAGTGGACTCTCCCCACTCTCGACCGTACCAGGGCATTTGGGGGTCAGAAGCCAGTGGCGATCCTGCTGCAACCTTCTTTTACTTTCTACATAAAGAATGGTTCTAACTTTCCTAACTGAAAGAGTCTTCTGGTTGTACATTTCAGTCCGCCTTATCTTTTCATCCCTTCTCTTCCTACTTTCATTATTTTGTGTGGCGCATATGTACCTGGTGCCCTTTTGTACCAATATATGTGTTTAAATAAATAATAAATAAATATAAATAAGTCTCTATGTTCCTGCACGCATAGAATAGATGTACCGTCAATCGTATACTGGTAACTATTACCGTGTCGGATGTGCATGAGCACACTTCCTGGTATTAACTTCTAAGCCCTAACCTTGAGCCATTCTAACTATTTCGTCTAGATCCGCTTGAAGATCAAAATGATCAGCCTCAATTCTTATTGCTCTTCAGATTTTGACATCATCCACAAACAATAATGTCGACAACTTAAGCAGTAGCTGTAATTAATTGACGTAGAGAAGGAAAATTAGGAGACTTAAGATATTGTCTTGGGGTTCACCACTTTTGGCCGGCTTCCATTCAGATAGCGGTCCATTAACCCTCACACTCTGTCTGCGGTCACATAAGAAGTTTCCTATCCATTCCTCTACAGTACCTAATATTCCAAAGGTCGAGAGCTTCTACATAAGACCTAAGTGTGAAACCTTGTCAAACGCTTTGCTAAAGTCTTTGAATATCACATCGACAGACAGATCGTTATCTAGGGCTACTGTCCAATCCTTTCTCACAATAATTAAGTTGGTCAAGCATGAATGCTTGTTTCGAAACCCGTGTTACTCGGGAGTTAACAGATTGTACGAATCTATGTGACTTAGTAACTGAACCCGAATTATCTTTTCAAGTAACTTAATGACTATGCTGATTAAACTGACAGGTTGGCAGTTAGACACGACCTGCCTCTGATCATCTTCAAATATATGACTGACCATAGCATCTTTCCAATCTCTGAGGAGTTGAGTGAAAGGGACATGTTGAAGAGTATCGCGAATGGTCTTGAAATAAAGACCGCAAGAGATGACAACAGTCGTGGATGCAACCCATCAGGGCCCGATATCCTACATGGTTTGAGGTTAGTAATTAATGGAACAACAGTTTCCTGAGTCATAGGTACAGACCATATAGCTGGTATCTCAGCGGCGTGATTAAGACAATTATTTTTGACAATAAACGTAGAGTAGACTTTGCTGGAATCATTTGATAAAGTCTCAGCTTTTGCCAGATCTGATTAAGCTAGTAAAAATGAATTTTCGCGTAACGGTAATGCGGGAATACTCTCACTAAGTATTGTTCTCCGTTTAACGTACGGAAACAATCGTTTCGATCAAGTACAGCTATCATATGCCAACTGCCTTTCGTAAATAGTATGGCATCTAGCTATAGTCATTTTACACACATTTGGCATTTTTTAACAATCACACTCAAATGATTCGTATTCTGTTGACAAGATAAGTCACAGACGTGTTAATCACCCTTCAACAGCTTTCAAGCTTCCTTACTATTCCATGAGAAGCAATGTCACTGACTTCAGACAGTGCCCATGACTTTTAGCAGGATCATTGTCTTTTGACTCCACTAGATTCCAAATAACTAAATCAGGACAAGGTTAAATTTCTTTGAAAAACGTGTTCAAGGCTTTCGGTCGTGATGTTAGATCTTACCTGTTAACTACTGGAAGCTTACCGTTACTTTTCTTGCAACAGTCGTGGGAGTCGATAAAATGACTTACGAAAATGTTCGATGGGGCCAAACTTTTCCATCTACGATAGGGTTAACTGTTGTGTTACTTAGGGAATTCGGTTGGGTAATCTGCAACGCAGAATATGATTCCATCAAAAACTTCACAACTAAAAAAGTGTTTTTTCCTGCTATCTCTTTTTTCATCCTATTTTTCCACATCATCTATTCCCCATCGGTCTCAGCATCCACATCAACACTACTCCGGACGATAATGGATTTGTCTGAGTCATCAGTCGCTGCTAAAGCAACTTGGCTACCGGTATTAAATGGTGTATCGCCCATTAATTGCTTTGAGATGGAAGGCCCTACTGCATGTTGCACAGCCGGGTGTCTGGCATGTGCCGTAACAACACTTACGACACTGAAACTTCGTTATCAGTCAGTCAGTCAGCTACAACGTAGGATCAGGCACATTTATGCATCGGTTCAAGTTGCCATACCTCGTTAGCACAACAAGATGAACACCGGATTCATAGAAGTAATTAATTTACTGATGGTAGTAGTATATAAATTATAGGTTGTATATAAGTATATAGTACAGGAAGAGAGATATGAAGCAATTTTAGTCTCAGGGTTTAAAGGAAGATAAAGAGTGTATACACCTACGCCATTGTGATCGATTCTGAGCCATGTCACCTAGAGTCTACAACCACTGGTTACGATAGTCACGCGGACCCCAACCAGGTAGTCTGTATCTGCCAACATGGCTCAGACTAGAAGTTAGTGACTTCAAACACTGATGCCATGTTTTGGTTTGGCCGCCCCTAACTCTCTACCAACAATCCCCTACACTAGTCATCATAGCGCGTTGTGGTAATCGGTGTTCAGGCATACGTAACACATGGCCCAACCATCTCAGTCGATGAAGATTCATCACCTCATCAATTGATTTACCATCGTTCCCTAATACCCTGTGTCTAACCTCACTATTACTTACCCGGTGATCCCAGCAGATGCGAGCAATATTTCTAAGGCATCTGTGGTCAAATACTATTATTTTTTTATTTATTTAAACACATAAATATTGGTACAAGGAAGCACCAGATACATATGCGCCATACAAATCTCATCCGATTTGCTTGAGGGCTGTGATACTGCCCAGGTGCCCAGACTGAAGCAGGTGGTTTTCTTAGGGGCCCACACCCGGAGCCTTTGACCGAAAGGTCTGATCCACAAGGCAGTGGAGCATCGTGAGGAGATGCAGTCCCATGGTAGCCGTTGACCAGCAGCAGGTTCATTCGCCATTCGTTCCATGAGGATCCTGGAGCCCATGTGAACCATTGGTTTGGAATCAGGGTTTTCCAACTCCCCTAGGTGGACCCTCCATGTCCACCAGCCCGGTTAAAGCGCCGGACATTCGCTCTTCGTCCTCTCACTTTCGTAAACAACACCCCCACCACGAGAAGGCAGTGAGTAGGACTTCCCTGGTAGAGGCTATATATTCGCTGGCCATGTGAGAGCATTTCGAGAGGGAGAGTGGGCTCTCCCCACTCTCGGCCATACCAGGGCATTTGGGGGTCAAATACTAGTAACTTACGAGTATCTTCTACTCTTAATGGCCATGTTTCACAACCGTAAAGTAGAACAGAGCGAACTGATGCGCAGTATACTCGTCCTTTAATTGATAGACGGATATCTCGTCTTCGCCATAGGTGATGTAAGTTGGCAAAAGCCAAACGAGCTTTTCGAATCCGTGCTGAGATTTCGTCACACACCAACCCATTAGGGCTGATCAGACTTTCAAGATAAGTGAAGTTGTCGACGCGTTTGACTACTTCACTCCCCATCCTTAGTTCGGGTGTTGACGCAGGCCAGTCCTGGAGTAACAATTTACATTTGAATGGGGAGAATCGCATCCCAAACATTCTGGCATTATTACTGAGTTCCAACAGAAAACTCTGCATTTTGCCAGCGTCTTCACCAAACAGGACTATGTCATCTGCGTATTCTAAGTCGCTTAGTGATCAATTCCTGTAAATTCAGTCGAAGAGAGTGTTATTTCCAGCAATAGGTCTATAATGAAGTTATCAGTACTCATATTATCGATGCAGTCCTCATCAATCTACTTGATACACAACTCCAGAGAGCTAATTGCCTTCTGGATGATTAATGCTTTTTTGAACAACAAAACATACATAACAAGTGGGAGGCAGGCCTTGTGCACCTTTTAATGGCAGTGGGATTTAAGCGGGTACACATCTTATGGAAACATAATTCCACTCATCACATTGCACCCCTTCTTAAACAGTGAGTAAAAATAACGCTGTTCACATTTATGAGCAGAGCTGATTACCTTAAGAACTTAATGAGAATGGTAACACAAAAATGGATAAATAAAAAGACTTCAACAATTTACCGAATAATTATTCGGTACTAGATTTTATTCAAGTAGAAGTCAATCAAGTGTGATTTGATAGTATTACGAAGACGCGAAGTCAATAAACACAAGTACAATACACCACTAACTGGAATAAGCGCAATTTAAGTGTAAAAGTAGTTTTGATGCATAAATTACCGTTAAAACGACGAAATTAACTCAAAGAAAAACACCACTGTTATTCTTATATCGTGCGCAAACACAATGATAACACTGTGATCTATGAACACAGACTGCAAATTTATTCAATTTCTGCTACAGTAACAGCGAATAATTAAGAACAAGAAACATACTCACGCGGGAGCGTAATCATGACGAGGTCTTCAAAAAGGGAATAAAAGCTCGAAGGTCATCGATTTTTTCAAACAACAATTTTAAGTTCAATAATGTATATTGTACAAATTATGAAACTTATTGAAAGAAATGCAAATAACAGGAAATCCTAGCGATTCGTGCGCCATCGTAATGACCCATAACATAACTATGTAATTACGTTATCGCAAAGATTTAACAGTCGAAACAAATTTTAGATTTTTATTGAAGCAATAGATAAAGTGAAAGGACTTCTTTGAATGATAATTCTTTGTGTGGTATACGCACACTGAATATATAACATCAGTATGTAAAAAGAATAAAGGTGACCCTACTCGAAAGTATTTTGTTGCCAGATATTTTTCGCATACGGATGCCTCCATAGCGAATGGTTTTTGATTAGGTGTCATGGAACAGGCCCTTCTTCGCCTCATATCTATTTGAAATACCAAGAAAAAAACAAAACAGCGGTGTTGGAATGCTCAGTGAACTAGGTAATTCTGTAACAAAAAATATTATAATTTATTGAAATTACGTCGTGTAACGCTCGAACAATACTGTGATTTGCAATCTATTGTCCTGAAGCTGTAAACAAATCCTCAAGCTCAATAAATCTGTAAGCGTTAGACATTGGATGCTGATCATATTAGTTTTAATGGACTCATTTAACTGAAGGCGCTTGATCATGCATCCGTATTAGATCACGTTTAAGAACGGCGTGGGAAACATATCCTACGATCATTAGCCAGATTAGATCAGTCACTTCTCCTTCTATTGATAACCCATCAAATATATATTCCAACTTCCTCGCTTATGATTTTTGATTTAACTGGGTGGGCGCAATTCAATTATAGTGGTGCAATGTCGCCAAACTACAATACCTGTGGTATCTTCAATGTTGAGACGGTCGTGATCTGGTACACCAAGCAATAAACTGTAAGTCTGTTCCTTCTCGGAACTTCATAAATCATTGCTTTTCTATTTTTTTATATAGTCATATTTTGGGATGATTTTTTCTTCGTTCATTTCTATACTTTAAACTCCCATAACAGATCAGACTCCCAAGCTCGTTAAGATCAAAACTCTTACACCACCCTCATTTTAGCTAATGTCCTTTTGGCCGGACAATTTAGAAGTCTAGTTCTGCTACTCAGAAGCCGACTTCTACGAGCATGGCATTACTGATTCGCGCACACAGTTCATCGCGGTTGTAAAGGCAATACCGCGCGAATTCAACAGGTACGTAACACCTAGTATGTCTGCTAGTGATGTTTCTGAACCTTGAAAAACGCTAAAATGATCGATTCTAATACGCAGATAGCTAACCAATCGACAACGGTCAGACCATCTCTTTAACAACATCGACATGCACCATGGCTCTGCGATTGACATGTTGCTAAGAGTGAGAGAAGTTGTAGGTCAAAGAACTTTCGATGAAGGCCTATCCAAACAACTTTCTTATCTAAATTTCCGGAACAGGTGAAATCAGTATTTATCTCGTTTCAAAACAACGCCGTAGACGAGCTGACTGCATCTGCCGTACGCAGAACTGTGGCACGTGGATTTTGAAGTTAAGTCTCAAAATTTCTTATGAATTTGGGGAAACCGATGAATTTTCATGTGAATTTGTGGATACTTCCGAAATTTTCTTAAAAAAACGGGAGATGGTGTGTAAATTCAGTGCATTGTAATCAGATATTTGTCTTCAAGATATAGATGATATTAGTAAACAACATTCTTCCGAAAGACGACTACCTTTCAACTCACCACCTAGACAACGTAGGTGACGTCGGTCAGTTAAGTATGCTTTATGTCAAAGGAACTTACTCTTAAGATCTTAATGTTGCCACTGCCATTCTGGATTTTAGGTCCGTGCGGCAAGAATTGAGCTAAAGGTCACCATCATTAAAGCTGTGCACAACCATCCTTGCATGGAAGGAAATATTCCTGCAGATCCTTCTAGACGATTCCATCTAATCGATTTGTATCAAATTGGGGACGAGGAGTACTGTAAATAAAATGTGACTGAATAAAACGAGCGCCCAATGGATTATCAAAATTGAATTGTGACTTTCAAGATTTATAACACAAAGTGATAGTAATAACAAGTAAACTGACTACAATCACGTTTTTCACATACTCAAGAATATTATACAATGTCATATTTAAATCATGCTAGGTGTTAGAAGTTATTAGAAGCATTCGGTTTCTAAATCTTATTAAGTAGTCTGGGGTAATAAAGAGGGGACGAATCAGGAAATAAAAATTAATGGAATGCATGTTTGGTAAAGGAAAATATAGCTTCATTGGAAGCGTTCTTTTACTCTGGTCATGAATAAGAAAGTACTTCGCATGCACAAGGAAACGCACTGACCCTGAATATCATCCACTGTTATGCACTTATCAACGATGGCAGCGAACATGCCAACGCTTGACTTTATGAGAAGCTGAAGTTAACAGCATAGAAGCCCCCAGGAGAGAAACTGCCCATGCTAATGTGAGAAATAGACGCAACAGTCAAAATGGACAACATCAACTTTGGAGATATCCTGAGACGGAATTATATGAGGAGAATCAACAAGAATGGTAGGAAACTTGTAGTTTTATGTGTTCACAACAAAATAGTTGTTGAAGACACAGTACACAAAGTTTTACAGGTCCCGCCTCACCATACTACTGAGAACCAGATGTATCATATTTGTATCACTAGAAGATTCAGAAGGTCAGTAGAAGACACGAAGACCTGGAATGCCTTCTAGATGAAACTGGGACTAAGAAAGCACTGAACGTCTGGCAAATCAGCATGAGACAGGTCTGATACAACCTTCGTTCGAGATGCTGACAAACCCAAATAATCCAAAGTGATTCCCAACAACATGTAGTGAAAGAAGAAACTACTTTGTAGTATAACTGTAAAAGGATCAAAGAAGCAATGAACAGCAGTCGAACGAGAGCAGACAAAGCAAAGTCATAGATTAAGCGTGCAGAGGTAAGCAAGCGGATCTAGAGAAGCAATGGAGCTAACAAATAGAAATACGTAGAAGACTTGAGAGAGGACATAAGAGAGCACTATATCATAAAACGAAGAAACTAGATGCAAAACTAGAACAAAAGACGTAAACCGACCACTGGAACTCGAGAATAGCAAAAGAGATTAGTAAACTTAGATGCACTCTTAGGTTAATCAGCTTCAGTGAACCACAGACACTGTGAAAACACCTATGTACGTTGCTACACATGTTGCACGACCAACTGCTCGAGGAATAAGCATGGCTGTCGGGTTACGCAAGAGTGAGGAAGCAGACAGATGAGACAGTATACCATCTGAAGCGCTGAAATCAAACAAAGAAGTAATTGGAGAAATGTCCCAAATTCTCTTCAGAAAGATTTGGGGCGAAGAACGAGAAACAACAAACTTAAAAGAAAGGTACAACATTCAAGTTTCAAATAAAAAGATTTAAGTGAACGAGAAAACTACAGAACAGTTACACTACTTTGTGTAACAGGCAAAGCCTTCAGGAGAGAGTTGTTGGACCATTCGGGAGATCCAGTAAACGCTAAACTTCGACGTCAACAGACTTCAACTCATTAGGAACGATCGCGTACCGACCAAATCGCGACACTGCGAATCATTGTGGAAAAATCAACTGAATGGAACTCATCATTATGCATCAAATTTTTTGACTTTGAGACAGAAATCACCAAAAAAGCCTGACGTTATGCAGCGCGTGCCATCAACTGTACGTGCTTTGGAAGAGATGTTCTAGAAAAGCCAAACGAGATGTAGGAAAACAGCTTGTACCACTGAAAAAAATATCGCTGAAGGGTGGGTATCTTCTTAAACAATATGCGGGAGTCTGACTTTGTATCACACCAGTTTTCTGAATGTTTACCACGTTTCTATTCGGGTGTATTTTTAAAAGTTTATCTCACGTGTTTTATAGCATCTTATTAAATTAGTAAACTCTATTTTAGACTTCCTTACATTCATCAACATTGTAATTAGATGTGTCTTATGTACACAGTTTCGAACCAGTCAGATAATGTGAGCGTCAAGAGTACAAGATGACTAAGAACCGTGCACCTAATACTAGTTTCCGGATTATGTATCCACACAAAAGATTTGTTGCTGAATCCTCCTTCGAGTTACTAAACCCACATTAATGATAATAAGATTGAGAATTGTTTTGCAGAACTTCGGTTGTCAATTTATGCTTTATCTCACGTTATATATCGTGTTATGGTTTGAATCTTTGGCCACGATTTCCTTATGTTAGATATGCTGGAAAATAGAAAAACAAATAGAACAACAATGCTCTCTGCTTATGAAGTGTTTCCACTTATGATAGAATTTGTAAGCAAACAACTATTGCGTATATACAAGGCTCATATCATCCCTGTACCGTAATGAAGTTTGAAAACATTAAACAATCCTGTTAAAACTTAATAATCTAGTGGCTTAGTCAATGGAAGTTTGAAGGACGCTTTATTTTGGCTTAGCAACGAAGAAATATGTGATGTAATGTCGACTACACTAGTGGACTAGTCGTCCTTGAAAGAATGTGCTGTGCTGAGTATTATAAACCGTTACAAACACACAGTGTTTTATTCCATACCACCCTTTACTAAACATTGAAAGGCTAGAAACGCTTGGACAGCGTACTGCCAAACTACAGGGTATGTCAACGAATTACAGTACAAATACCAAGCCAGGTCTTACCAACGAACTAGTTGTCGCTCTACTCAAATTTACGTAACGGGAAATCAATTTTTCACCAGATATGGAAGACGCGTTATTTCAAGTACTTCCTGATGGGGAGTACAGAAAGACATTTGGTCTTTGTGGCACATCAGCGGTAAACCTTGTTACCCTCTAGAAGCAAACGAACTGAAGGTATATTCCTTTTGGCTGCATCTTCGTTCTAAGCACCTAATTCATTAAAACCTACAGCTCTCAAACACTCAGATATATTTAGCGCAACAAGAGAAACTTTAGTGCGAGAACACTTCCACGTTAGTAACTACCCAGTTGAAGTGAAAACCTCTTTAAAAAAAACCGAAAAAGCAAGCAAACTGTATTTATTGATAGCTCTTAGAGTTTACCGACTTCACGAATAATTTAACACCAATAAGAAAGCTTTAGTCAGTGTCTCTCTGGGCGATAGACTAGAAGGTTCAGCTGGTTTTTGGCTGAAAGAATGAATACTAAACAGTCAGGAGCCTTGCAAACGAACTCAGTTACTTTGTTTTTTGTTCGACATGACTTTACTGGATATTTTGGCAGAAAAACCGATATCTTATCAAGCACCACGTCGTTATACGATACCCCTGGATACATAACACCAGGTGTCCTGGTACGAACGAGAGTAGAGATAATTTTTTTCTCCCTCGAAATGCTCCAATATGGTCATTTTTGTACAATCACGGTCAGAGAAGTTCTTCTCTGACTTCTCTCAGCGGTGCTGCTGTTCACGCTTTTGAGGGAATGAGAAGTGAATGTTCACACCTCAACCGGGTTGAAGAATACTGAAGATCCACATAGAAGAATTGAAAAACCCTGATTAAAAAACCATCGTTGCGCATGGGCTCCAAAATCCTGAGGGAACGAATGATATATGAACTTATTGTTGCCCATCTTGTACCATGGTACTACAGCTGTCAAAATTTCTGCACTGAGTAACGGATCATACCTCTAGGTCAAAGGCTCAAGTAGCCACAATTCATGTTTTCATAACCATTCGTGAGAAATATTCTCAGACATATTTGTTAAAATTCGTTGTTATTTTTACATCGAACTACTTGTGTATCCCTTTATTTCCATTTGTTATTTATCTTTTAATCTTCCACTTCTACAGCTGATCGCCCATGGTGAAGACAATTTGCTTTCTAAACAATTTGAAGTCTCTGACCAGTCAAAAGTTAAATGCCATCATCGAATACAAATTCTGAACCAGCGAAACTGGCCTCTATCAACGTTCGAGCACTGTTGCATATGTGATAAAATATAGGGTTGGCTTTGTCTTTGGAAAGTCTCAACATCGATTTTTGTCTCATGAGCATATTTAAGTAGCTAGTGAAGAATTACGAATTCACTTTCATCTGTCCTCTCCACCAGACTGCAGCCCGGATGCGATCAACGATGAATTTTACCACCCGTTAATTGTTCTTTTTCACAAAGTTCGTTTGACAGATATTGTAGCACTAGCCGGAGACTTCAGTACCCAGTTTGGGTGTCTAGACACAGAAGAGAGTCGTTTAAGCGACCGATGGGGACTTGTTGGTCACGGCTCAGATAACGTGGACCGTCTACTGCAACTGGTTAAGGAAAAGACTACGTTGTTTACAAAGGTTTGGGAGCTAGAGACTGTTCCCAAATCGTCGAAAGAGTCTATAGTTGTCCCTATCTTTAAAAAAGGTTCAAGTCGTTTCTGTAACAACTATCGGGGGATAAGTCTACTCTGATTGCGTCCAAACTAGTGGCTTCTATCATTCTTCGTAGGTTGTTTAAAACCCGAGAACGATTGACTCGCGAGGAGCAGGCTGGTTTTCGTTCTGGTCGAGAATGTATTGATCATATCTTCACCTTCCACCAAATGTTAGAACACCGTCATACTTATCACAGGCCAACAATCGTAGTGTTTCTTCACATCAGGGCTGCCTTCGATCCGTTGTACCGGACTGCTCTCTGAGATTTTCTTTTGAAGAAGGGTGTGCCTGATTAGTTTATTAACATCTTAAAGGCCCTATATACAAAAAGACCTCAGGCAGAGTGAGGGCATACAACCACCTTTCTTCACTGTTCCATTCAAGCAGTGGGGATAAACAGGGTTGCCCAATCTCACCATTCCTCCTCAATTTTGCCATTAATGATATTCTAGAAACGGCTCTGATAGATTTAAGTAATGGCGGTGTGGATTTGTTGCCTGGAGAACGACTTCTCGACCTCGAGTATGCAGATGTGCAATAATACCCGAGCTATGCAATCCGCACTTAATCAGTTGGCAATCAGGGTCCGTAGGTATGGTATGTGCTTTGCACCTTCTAAGTGCAAAGTTCTTTTACAAGATTGGTGGGACCCTAATCCTGTACTCACCTTGGGTGGCGAGCAGATTGATGTAGTCGAGAAGTTCGTGTATTTAGGTAGCTGCATTAGTGCTGATGGTGGCGTGAGTGATGAGATCAATTCACGTATAGGTAAAGTCAGAGCAACTTATGCCAATCTGGGCCGTCTTTGGCGTCTTCGTGATGTTAGTCTGGCTCTAAAAGTTCGGATCTACAATGCGTCGATGAAGGCAGTTTTACTGTAAATTTGTGAAATCTGACCTTTCTGAATTGAGGATGTTAGAAGACTTTCTGTGTTTGATCATCGGTCTCCAAGAGATCGATGACATTCACTAGCAATATTATGTTAGTAATACAGAGGGCCTGCAGCCTATCATAAAGATGAAGAGGTATCCAGTGCATAACATGGCGTTGAGGTATGAAAAAAACGCTGCGTAGGATTGACTTTTGTCGGCCATTTACGACTCCCTGGTCGGGGTCCTAGAGACAGTGCGACGCAGTAGATTGAGACGTCACCAAACATGGTTAAGAACAGGACCCAGTGATATAGTGCTATAATTTTGTTTTATTTATTCAGTGAAAGTAAGGAAATATACGTCGTTTCTTCTGATGGGTGGGGTGGAGGAGTGTCAAATCTGTGTGGATTATGTGTCTTCATTTATTTCCTATCCTAATTCCTTTCCATTACTATTCCACACTAAATAATAAGTGATGTGAGCAGAGAAACAAGAAGCCTTGACAAACTACGGAAGCTATTTTTGGTGACGTTATTTCATTTAATTCAAAGCTTGTACAGCAGTAACATTTACTTTCACTAATAGTCTATTCTACAGATCATAAGCTTTCATTTGATGTATGATTCACTGCCATAGCCTTTTCTGTTCCAAAGCTATTGTAATTTAGACGTAACCTCTTGTACTCTATTTTCTACTCTAATCCCCCAGTTTTGGACATAATTGTATTTTCCTAATTATTGTACGCTGTGGTCAAGTTAGTCATTTATTTATTCATGTGTCTTTTTACACTTATCTGAATTTGGGCACCAGATTGGATTTTGGAATAAAGCGATTAGTGTTCCAGTTGCCTTGCCTTCTCTCTCGCGGGTGCATGTCAGACAATCAGGTGATACAATAGTTTTCTTCTCTCTACCCCACTTCGAACTCACGCATACTAGCCTCAAGGTTAAGCCAGTCAGCCTATCGCGTCAAGGTCTTAATCTACATTAGACAAGTTATCCTAGGCACGAAAGTGGGTAGACGTAACAATAAGATTCAGTAACTGACTTAATTTCTGATAACTTGTGGCATTCCATGTGACGTAAACCTACAGTTATATTCTTGAGTAAGTACATAAGGCGATAATATTCAATTTAGTTAATACTGTAATCACCTCTTATTACTTGCAACACATATTTCCGATTCTAATAATGTAAGAGTCTTTTGTATGTCTTTATATGAATGTGTGGGAATTCCTCCACGTATATCTTTTGTGTAACAATAATACTTTGTCCTATACTTAAATGTAAATTTATTACTTTTAGTAATTTTATTTGCATTTTAAGTTTATATTTTGGTTTCAAATCAAAATATTGTTATTGATTGAACTTAAATTTTTGGACTGATTATGGTAAGTTGTCTTATCAGAGGGTTTAATATGGAATAATTCATGCAAGACGGAATATATACATTCTCTGATAGAAAAAAATGAACTGCTTACCAATCAACATATGTTTAAACAAAATATATTATTTTATGTTTCCAGTAACATCTGGGGTAGCACCACATCGAATTAATTCACGTAAAATATTTGCAATATTATGACAATCATCTAAGGATGAAATCACGAAAAGATCAACAATAAAATGCGAACAAGTAAATAATATCAAATATAGTTAAATAAGCATCGAGTTATGTAGAATAAATAAACTATGGCTAGCAATCGAATCTAGGACATTACTTTCGTCCTGCCTTTGACTATTTAGTTGGATGTGCCTGTATCTCAGTACGGATGTTAATATTGTGGCTCGAACACACCTAATAAGCTATTGAGCCTAGATAGCCAATAACTTCTAGCCACAATCCACTTGATCGAAATGACTTGTAACAAAATGGCTATATCGAAGCAATATATACAGAATATGGTGATGTCAACGAAGGCTGATTCAAATTTAATCCTTAATATCAGCAACGGATAATTTCAGTACTTCGTAATAGCTTGATAAAACGAGCACTAATTTTCAGAATTCTTTTTAGTTTAACTCCCGTGAACAAAGATACTGAAATAAATTTTTGGACTGTGAATAAATACTTACTAAGATATAATACTTAAAAGTCTACTTTGAATTAGCCTATAGCTAGGAGAGATGAATTATGGTAGTACAACACAAACGCGGTTTGCGTATATTTAATTGCAGATATCATTGTTGATTTATTATGCATTCATCAAATGAGTGACAATCAGAAGCCTAAGAGCGGCCGAATGAAGATGTATTATCATTTTGCGAATTCATTAACGGTTATGTTGAACCGAATCAGTAGGTATAAACCTACTGGATGAGATCTGCAAAATTCTTTATTTGAGTTTGATTGAATGACATTCTTTAGCCTTTATTTAAAAGAAATTCTGAGAAATATTATGGGGTTTACGTTTATCGACTACTAATCCACTAATAGAAACAATGACTCGCAAAGTTAAATGACTTTTTTTAATCATGTGACAGTAAAATAGTATGAAAACAACAGCCGAATCAAGATAAAGATCGCGGTGAATTTAATAATAATAATAATCTAAGTTTCATGAATAGGATTTTTTAAAGAGCTGCTGAGAATTCAACAATACCAAATAACTGCTATGAATTGATTTTTAAGATAAAAGTTTAGTACGAGCCAACAATACGGATGACATCGCTTATATGTACACAGATTATGAATAAAGAATTATTTTCAACAAATCCACTTCAAAATAAAGTCAACATAAACTTTCGCAAAATATCGCGGCTTGATTGAAATTAGAAGTAAACACCGTTAAATGCTGGCTCAGTGGTCTAAAAGTTAAGCGTTCGAGTCCCGCGTGCGCACCGATGAAGAGTTTCATACTAGGATGAGACGGCTTTCCAGTGCTTCCGGGTTTTCATTGGTGGTCTAAAACTCATGATGTCAATGAAAGTCAATAATCTCCACAACCCTATACTGTTAAAGTCAATATAATTCGGATCTGACAGCGAATCTTGAATAAGGACGTAACATACGATCAGGGATTGCTAATCCAACCAGTTCGTCAACAGATATTTCCTGAAAAGAAGTTTCTATAGATTAAAATAGTTCCTAAGATTACGAAGTGTGTAAAAATAAGCATAATAATGATAATACGCATTACCAATACCACTGTGATGACGACCAGTGTGCTTTATATTTAGTCCCGACAGCATGGACATCATACCGAATGGAAATTGACCCATAACATTGCAATATACCTGTAAAACCAAAAAGTCATCAAGCAGTTCATAAACGATCATATTTCCATACATTATGTGGAAGGATGTTACAAATAAAATGATAAAAAACAAAACAAAACTCGATCCGACTTTCCAATTCTACAAATGTAAATAGCATTTAATATTTATTTACTGATAAACCCACCCATGAGACGGGTTTACATTTTCGGTACTAATCTATTTACAACTACAACGGCCAACTGGATTAAAGTCATAGACATTAAAACAACTGAAACTGTGGCTAACTAATGAAATTTTAAGTTAGCTATATCATTACAATTTCTCTTGCATAGTTACGTTCGTAGTCATCACAGAATAAGTATGATTTAGGGACGACTAAAGTGTAGTCTTACTGATTAATGAGGTGTATTTGGATAATCTATCTTCAGAATCGAAATAATGCAAGGATACATTTATTGATTACATGTTATTTATAGTCAAAAATATTAATATAAACAACTGCCAATCAGACTTGGTCCGATTCGTCTGTACTTAATTATCAATAATAAAGTTGTACTCTTATATAACCATGACTATCTTCCATTACTTTTATCTTATTGAACCTTACGTTACTGTTGATTTTGTTATGCATAATGTAATTTTCCATATTATCTACTTGACTAAAGTACTATCTTATCTCTGGTATGGTATTAACTTATCTCCGAGAAACGTAAAAATTCTTAATGACTGAGTTTAACTTTACTTGATCATAACTACTCCAAGACTCCAGTTTGATAGGTTAGTTGAAAATGTGCTCAAAAAATATGCCTGCATACAAAGTGCTCTATAATATGTAAAGTAATCAGTAACTTTTTATATTTTTCATGGCACTATTTCGTATGTAAAGAATACGAAGTGATCATATTGACAAGTTTGATCCACGTGTTTTTTGAAAAAAATACTACCCACTTTTCTAAGTCTACGAAATTTTATCACATCTTATGCAGATAAAATCAGGTAATTTAGAAATTACTTTTATTCCGTAAAATGCGAAAAGAAGAATAATACAATTTAGTAGTAATGCTCGATATTGTTATGAGAACTTCTGGAAATAATACCAAATAAGCAGAGATTTGTGTTTTGTTAACCAGAACAGAAAAAGTAACAAATGTATGTATTCTTTTATGATAATCTAGTGTATATGTGAGTTTTTACGTTAACAACGTATCTCAAAGTTGACTGATGTAAAATTTAGTTAAAACTACCACAACAGTTGGTTTATTTTCTTCTTTTGGAAAAACAAATTGAGACTAAAACATTTTAGGGAATCAAAAAGGATGTAATGACAGCAAAACTGGTCACAAACATTCGTGGATGGAGATCACTGGCTAATAATCACGGTTGAAAAATATCTTAATGTATTTTAAATTCCCATAACGTATATAAAATAGGAAGTTAACGTAACATTACATACTGTTGGGGATGTCAAATCCCCAGAACTTACTTGGTAAATGGCTTAATCTTGTAGTTTTATTTTGAAAATTTGAATTTAGCTGTTTTCGCGCCAAAAGCGCTCTTTTTACCTTCACGTCATATTTCCCACCTGTAAACTATCTTAAACGCTATTGGTTCATTGTTTCTTTATGTGTGCTATTTACTAATGATGCTCAAGGACAATTTGTTACTGTATAAATGCGCTTGACTTTTCCCCTTATTGGATTGCTTGTACTCGGCTGCTTACGGAATACAGATATATTCCCCTACTTGCCTTGGACTTCTTCATCTAGTTAGCGGGGCCTGGGACAACCGATTAGAATAGCTTATCGTGTCATTGTGTCATTGGCTTTCGTTCGTTACCGCGGAATCGATTTAGTGTCAAGCATAACACATACTGAACTGTAATCAAGGATATAATATTGAATAAAGAGATCATAATCACTATGGTTTATCGGTTTAAAGATTTAATAGAATAAAGAATAATTGTGCATTGTTACTGGAATAAACTAACCTGTTTTAAATTTATCCATTGTTTGAAGTAGTCAGGAACATCTATACCTAGAGCCTTGCATTGCCTTGGTAACCTACGTAGAACCGATAAAAAGGTATTCGATTCACCGTTTTGTTGTGTTTTAATAAATAAGTAAAGCACATAAAGTGTGGGAGTACAAATAGTAACATTGACAGAACATCGAAAATAGGAAGGTAGTAGGTTTGAATCGCAGTGCTGACACTACGAATGGGATAATGATGTATTCAGCTAACTAGTTCCAAATGAGATGAAGCGCTCATATACGATTTTAACTTTAAGCTACTATCCGGACACATAAGAATTTGTAACAAAAAGAAAGCCAAACCAGGGAAATCCTCTAAAAATGCATAAATCTCAACTAAGACTGCTGAAAGTTAGGAAATGAATATCTACAAAGAGATAATACAAATCTCTATGAATATTCAAGATATCAGCCTACATGCTCTCTTTATCACCATTTAAAGTGTAATCATTTACAAACTGAATATTGTGGTTATTTGAAGAAAATTCTCACGGAAAATTATAAAGACCTCTAATTTACCAACGAACAATCATATTTGATATCTTTTTTTAGCCTTTATGGTTATAAACGCATGAATATTGTGCTACGTTTTATGAATGATATGGTTAACATAATCAGTAATATAAAGTGAAAACAGTGGATGACACGAATAAATTTTAATACTAACAATATAGATCACTAGTTAAATTGAAAAGATCACGCAACAAGGAATAAAACAATAGTTAATGTCTAAAGATGATGGGTGGCAATAATAAATAAAAAAAATCTTAAGTAAAAAAGTATCGATTGGAATATAGTGTCGTGGTTATTTTGGCGATAGTGTAATTTGTAATAAAAAAAGATCAATGTATAATTCAGAATGTGTCATAGGGGAGAGTTAGTATAGATCTCTATGAAAGGAAAAGTGGATGAAGTTTACAATATGTACTAACGAATATACCTTGAATCAAAGGAAACTCTACTACAAAAAGAATAATTTATAAATTGAGCAAATAAATAAATGATTGAACTGGAAAACAAGCTACAGACTGTTATGGTTGAGAAGAAAACACTCTAACTAAGATTTCGTTTCAAAGGTGATGTATTGAAGAATATTCTCACACATCCATTAACGCGAATTTCATTTTCAATAAATTGCATATCAATTCCTTACCTGGCCCAATGTTGACGCAGCAAATCAAATATAAGGTAGTAATAATGGGTTTGTCAATATAAGTTTATCAGTTAAACTGCTCTAAAGGAGCTGGTAACATAGGCTGCACTCAGAGAGCGTTATCCTTACGTGTTAGAGAACATGTGCAGAGGTAATTAGACTAAGGTGTCAATAAGTCTATAAGCTGCGCCATTCTTTCCCATCTGACAGACAATTGACATAGTACCATGATAGAAGAAGCTTTATCGGCTATATGCTAACCTACGAATGATTTATTGAAAGGCACACGATGACACCTTCACCAGACACCATAAGTAACCAGAATCAATTCAATGAAAGCAGAATTATGTGCTCAAAAGAGATTCATACGACCACTTTGTCCACACCGGTCAACAATCAAGTTGTCTCATCATTAATCTAATTGACCTAGTACAATTAGTACACGTTATAAACTTTTCCCACCTCAACGACCGAAAGGGTATGCCTCAGCAAAATATCCAGTATTGAATCCATATTCAATATTAATTTAAAGGACAATTGATGAGCTGAATGGGGAAAATGTTTTTCGCTCAGTTTGTAGTTTTTATGAAATATATTCCAAGTTCAACCTGAATGGTTGAATTAGTAACGGAATAGCAGACATAATGTCACGTCAACTGTTTTTTAAATACATGTTCGGGAAAGTTTATTTTGATCATAGAAACACAACATACGAAATACAAGGTTATTTATGCATTAAGATATAACTTTCATAAACGTTTATAAAGAATTGAAATATACTATTCCCAGTTTGATTTTTTCACGTATACCTGAACACTGATTACCACGATGTTTGGAAGAGAGTTAGGGGCGGCCAAACCAAAATGTGGCATCAGTGCTTGAAGTCACTGACTTCTAGTCTGAGCCATGTTGGTATATGAGAACTGCTTGATTGGAGTCCGTGTGACTATCGTAACAAATGGTTGTAGGCTCTGGGTGGCATGGCTCAGAATCGATCACACTGGCGTAGGTGTATACACTCTTTGTCTTTACTTAAAACATGAGATTAAAAATACTTGAGACTGATCAGCGATATCAGACACTTTATAATTAAACAAAATATAAACTTCTGTAAATAACTTAAATACTTTTTCACATATATAATTGTTAAGTCGGCTTACAGTAAACTCTATCAGAGCCTCCAGAGGCTCATAAAGAGATCCAACCAATCAGCGATTAGTTAGAAGCTATGCTACTAAAATAACGAGGTCCTGATTGGCTGTTTAACACACTGCTACTATGGAAACTCAAGGTCTCTTAATTACTATAAAACCCCTGTTTTTCTGTACATAAATGAACCTTGTAGTAAATTGTTTTCTCTCATACTCGTGTCTTCTTACTGGTGTTCAAGTCGTTGAGTAGTGCTAGCCCTGGGGATATCGAAATAGCTTAGGATCTGAATAAAGCGTTCAACCTACAAGATATAACAATAGTTGTTAAGAACATTTATATATAAAAATTAAAGGTCTAGTCGACCTTTTATTTTTATATTTAAATGTTCTTAACAAGTATATATGTGATCAGATTGTTCGAAATGTATTGCGCTAATACATCATCACATAGTTCTGATAATCTTCGTCTTCTTATTACAATATCGAAATTAAATACCTGTCTTTAAAAGAGCGTGAACTAATACATAAATCTAATATGTCAGATATCGTAAACTAATCTTTTATCTAATGTTTGTTTAGGTTTATTAACCTTGATATTCATTGAATGAGAGAAAAAACTAAAAATGTAGTTAAATACCGGAATACAAGAACATAATTTTCAACTTAAAATACTTTTCTTTCATTGCCATTGATTTAATATAATATCGGTTTCAGTAATCATATCTTAATACTTTGCAGTGAAGTGCTTTGGCCTAAATAAGTTTTCGAAATAAACAATTGTCACTCAATCGAGAACAATTAAGGATAAGACAGAAAAGTGTGTATTTAAATTTGCTGAGTTAGGTTAAAAAAAATAAGTGAATATATTATCATAGAGTTGAGATCGTGAGTCAATTGAAGCTAGACCAGCATCGAAAACCTGGAAGCACTGGACGGCCGTTTCGTCCTATTATGGGACTCCTCAGCAGTGCGCATCCACGAACCCACTCTCACTGGATTCGAACCCAGGACCTACCAGTTTCTAGCCGAAGCCCTTAACCGATAGACCACTGAGCTGGCATCCAACGGTGTTAATGTCTAACTTCAACTGATTCACGAAATTGAGCAACCATTCACCAATGTCATCAGTGAGTTACTATCTCACAACAGACCTGGTTGAACTCCACCGGTTACTGCTTCTCACTAGAACTCCAGGAAATACCTCAAGGAGTCAATCACTAGTGAGCACATGATCATTGTCTCAACTCTATAACTTACTAAAATCTCCACAAAACCCCCTCTGAGAATATCTTATCAACCAACTATCTTAAATATCAATATCCTATAGTGTGAATGAGGTTAAACATAAAGTATACAATTTCGATAATGTGTCAAACTGGTATTGTTTGATTTGAATGTTCAATTTGTATTCAGTCATTCATAAAGTCTGTAATAAGAATGATGGGATAGTCAAAAACCGTTCCACTAATAAGAAGTAAAATTGATGAATTCACTAAAACATTTTTTTCTGATTCAGTATTTATTACAGCTGTGTATTCCTATTTTTACACGTCGATCAAACTCATCAACCAGTGGATAAGAACTGATTAATAATAAACTGTCAAGCTGATGACTGCTAAGAAGTTACTAGTATGAATTCCTCTTCAGCTAAGCTTTTCTTTTAATGACCGTCATCAATAAACATCAGTAATACAAGAATACTAATCAAGATAAATTTAGATTGTTTCATAATTAGAAAGAACAAGAACGTATTAAAATTTCTATAGCATAATACAATAAATATAGTATACATTACTCAATCAGCATGATATTACTCAAGTATATTATAACAGTTTAATATAAACATCCCGTATCAACAACGATATACCAGTAACTCTAATTTCTCAATGACTGAGGTCATCTTGTCTCCTTTTAGAGTCAAGTAAATGTAAAGTGTCCCATATTTTCAATCATTCAGTGAGTGAGTGCGGCAAATAACTGTAATTAACACTTTAGATTTAATTTTAAGCTAAATCTTTCATTATGTTTGCTTTCTTCATCCAGCATCATGAGATATGCAACACTAACTTATTCATTACAAACAGACGTGGAAAACTTTAGATGTTTACACTAGAATTTAAAATAAAAATTGTACTCTTCTAAGCAGCGATCATTTATTAAATGAGAACTGCTAATGAGTTCCATACTAAGACGAAACGCCCGTCTAGTGATTCCAGGTTTTCAATAGTGGTCTAATAATTCATGCTCTCAATTAAAACTCAGCGATCTCCACAACCTTATACTGATAATAAACATATATTTATGAGCTGGTTAAATAATTAAGGTTACTAAATCTAAAACACATTTTGCATAATTATCAATTATTTAATAAATAAAATACAATGAATGCATGAATCCATATCCCCATATACGGAAATATTGCATTAGTGCTATTGATTGGCTTTTTTCAACTGAATTTTGTCATCACTATGATTATCATCAACGTCGTTATATTTTCTGACTAGAATATCGTATCTATGGTGTTCTAGATATCTTTTTAACAATAAATCAATAGTAAAACTAGACAAATTTATTTAAACCATCAACCGATAGAAAGTGTTTAATAATTAATGAACTAAGGTGGTAATTTAATGAGTTGATATATATATATATATATATATATATATATATATATATATATATATATATATAGTATGTTTGTTAGTTGGTAAGCAAGGTGACAGTTGGCATTGGTCTAGTTCGCCATTCAATAAAAGTGTTCTAGTGTACTTGAATGACCTCAAATTGGCATTGAGAAAAGATTCTATCACAAAGTCACAAGTTTTAAAAACAGAAATGATTATTTAAGAACTCTCGTCTAAATTAGAGAGAATAGTTTCACAGTATTTGAGCGCCGATTTGACGTAAGACATTAAATAGGAATAATATATATTTGTAAAATCTCAGCGAATGAATTTGTAGTAAATCCGACGTTTCGCCTGGCAATCTGGTCCAAGCTTTTTCAAGGAATTATAATCAAACATCAAAATTATTGATTCTTTTTTACTTACTTATAATTTACTTATAAATTTTGATGTTTGATTATAATTCCTTGAAAAAGCTTGGACCAGATTGCCAGGCGAAACGTCGGATTTACTACAAATTCATTCGCTGAGATTTTACAAATATATATTATTCCTATTTAAGAAATGATTATTTCTATTAGAAAACGAACCTAGATAAACATCAAAGTTTGCACGAATTTGTTAATTTTGAAAGAAAACAAAAAGACCATTGAGATGACTCCCAGAAAGCGTAACATAGCCTTCAGAGACTCTAAAGGAGCCGAAGAGATTCCGATCACAACCAGATAGATATTTCTAGAATATCAACATGACATGTTGTAATTGGTCAGTTGTACAAACATCTTACTTCTGGATTGGCTGGATTATAATAAAGTTATAATTTATATCCAAAAACCATCAATACACCTATATTTCTTTATATTTCGTACACTTGCTCAATATACACTTCTTCTGCCTTCTTCTGTCTCTTTTTTGCGACTGTGAGTTCCATACGTTTGAATACCGAAGCCGTTAACTATATTAGCCGTATTCAAGCAGAGCACGTAATATATACGATTTGATTTCGGTTCAGCAAGTATCAATTAAGAAAGCTTTTTGTATGGATTTTAATATTAAGATAAAAATATTTTACTGGGACACAATAGCTCAAAATTATTAGTATACAATAGAATTATATAAAAAGTACTTATGTGATTCATTGCCTTACGAAATGAAATCGTAACCAGAATAATTTAGGTTAGAACCGATTACACCTACAGATTGGTAATTATCAACAATCGAAACATCTATCTAGGTTCTTGGTTCAAACTCCATCATTACCTCTCATACCGAAATCACTGGCAAATGAGTTAATTCAAATTGTTAAACACCACAAACTGATCGTGATCATTAGATTTACTAATTTGACTACGAATAACATTAACCGGTGTTATGTAGGACCAGTAAATCGAAATGTCTCAGATTCTGACTAAATGTCATGTTATCAGTGAACAGTTAATACACACACATTCAAGATTGAATAACCTTCATCAAAATTATACGAATATCACATTACAAAACCATGAACTAATTAAGGATTTTACCATGACAAATTAAAGTGATTTGGGACAACACATATAATATAACAATATTGTTCCAATTTAGATCTTCATCAGTCTTTACACTAATATACAAGAATAAATTAAAATATTAAGCTAATTAGATGTTCGAGTCCTAGAGTGAAAATCAACTCGGAGATGCACGTACATCCAGCTGACGAGTCCCAAATAGGACGAAACGCGAGTCCTGGATTCCACTGCTAGTCACTATCCATCCTTGCTTACAATGAAAGATAGTGCTTAAATTGTTTAACACAAGTAATGTGAATGATATAACGGAGTACTAATTACTATCAAAAGTCAACGGATTATACATTATGATGTGGATTTTCTAAGATATCTTATTACAGACATTAGTTTTACGAATGTATAGAAAGAATAGGACAGATTTAGTTAGAAATTCCTGGTCAGAGGCTTACGCTCCACAAAAGATAACAAGCCTAGGCAAGCAATAAAAATTAAAAAGGAAAAAGAATAATGTAAGTAACAATCCTGTCAGATTTGTAAACAATAACATAATCTATAATCACGGAAATCAAATTAATGAATAACTATTTTCATTAGAAATTCATAGTGGCTAATTGTTGATACATTAAAGATTGACTGATAGTAGGTAAAAAATTAATAGATAGTTAAACAGAATTAATAATTATTTATTTCATTTATTAATCGCATATTTAGGTACTAGAGTTTAGATGACATATGATCTGCAAACGATTCTGCGCCATGCCATTCAAGGTCTCTAACCATCGATTGCTATCATCTCGCGAATCCCAACCAGGTAGTCTACACCTACCAACATGGCTCAGTCCACTTATCAGTGAGTTCATGGATTTGTGCCAAGTTTTGGTCTGGCCGCTCCTAGGTTTCTTCCAACTTACTCCTACACCATGAAACATTGCACGTCGGGGCAGTCGGTGGTTTGGACATACGTAACACATGTTCCAGGTTACCTCAACTGAAGTTTCACTACTTCATCAATCGATTTGCCATCCTTACCTAGTACCCGTTTCCTAACAACTGCATTACTTACTCAGTGGTCCCAGGATATACGAGCAATCCATCAAAGACACCTATGATCGAATACTAGTAGCCTACGAATATCCTCTACTCTTACCGGCCATGTTTCACTGCCATAAAGGAGGACTGAACGAACTGCTGCACAGTACACCCGTCCTTTGGTTGCTAGACGGATATCTCGCCTAGGCCATAAATGACGCAAGTTGGCGAAAGCTAGACGAGCCTTCTGTATCCGTGCTGAGATTTCGTCACACACCAGACCACAAGGTCTGTTGAGACTCCCGAGATAAGTCAAGCGCTCAACACGCTCAACTACTTCGTTCCCTATCATTAGTTCAGGTGCTGATGCAACTTAATTCTGAAGTAACATTTTGCACTTCGAGGGAGAGAATCGCATCCCGAACATGCCTGCATAGTTGCTTATAGTGGTCAGAAGACTGCATTTTGTCAGCGTCTTCATCAAATAGAACCATGTCATTGGTGTATTCTAAGTCAACAAGTGAGTCTCACGATAAACGTTCAACTCCTGGAAATTTAGATGATGAAAGTGTTATCTCTAAAAACATGTCAACGACAAAGTTAAACAAGAATGGAGAGAGTGAACAGCCCTGACGAGCACAAGTAGATAGAACTTTGATGTATGCTACATATGCTGACAGATATAGGTAGTACGTAACACCAATCAGAAGTAGAATGCATGTCTATAGAAGATTGAGAAGATCCAGTTTAAGAGAATAGAAAGGGTAAAGAAAGTAATTAAAATAACAACAGAATTGAAAGAATCATGAAGCATGTAAAGAACAACTAATGGAAGATGTGCAAATTATGTATTTAATGCATGGTTTTCATATTTTGTGAAATAACTCCGTAATGTTGCATTAAATAATAATAAATTGATCTCCCCTGCCTTAAGCATTCGTTCACTACAGAACTATACTTTTAAACGCAACACCTGACAGAATTTAGAAAACATAGTAGATTGATTCTTAATTTAAAAGTCAGGGAGTAGATAACAGATAAAAATGACATAATATTTACCAAGTTTTGGCAATTGGTGATAGGAGTTTAACCATCAGTTTAAGTGATTTTACTAGCTATAACTGAACATAGAAATGAAGCGGCAATTTTATTGACGTCAAGAATTATCCGTTCGTAAATCAATAAAAATCTGTTTTTCATACACTGAAAATTTTATTTGATCATATCCTTCTATTATTAATTGTCAATGTGAATATGTTATGTTGTTTCCTTTTATTTTACAGAAGACATCCTCACAAGGTTGTTGATTCAGTCGGTCGATCTGTCTATTAGCTATGGGAGTGATAACAGAATACGACCAATGACCACGTAGAGGATAAAGGTAAATATGGCGAAAATAATATTAAATACTATTTGTAGTAACAAATGAACGATCACAAGTTTCGGTAATCAATTGCAGACTACCTGGTGTATTATCTGAAATTCCACGAAAGCCTAACTTTATTGGTAGAACTCGGGCACCAAAATAAGTATGGGTAACAAGAATAAAAAAATGAAGTAGTGAAGAGATATAGAAGAGGCATACAAATTAGGAATACATAACTTGTTAGCGAAAAATAAATCAACCCATCGAATATGCAGTTTGAAAAAACCTACCTATTTGGTAAAACTACACATTGATTTACAAGTATTAAACATCATATAAAAAGGTAAATAAAATTCTAGGTGATATGTACAAAGATTGTCAAATAAATACACAAACTGAGATAATAAAAAATCTGTATTAAGAAACTTAAAGTTAATCAATGTTAGGTCCTTTAAACTACTTCTCATTTGTAGCTACAGATGTATATATCTTCCGTTTACTCTTTTCGTGATATCAGTTCAAAACTTTGTACTATTCTTGCAGTCTTCAAAGACCTCCCTGGAGAACATGATCCACTTTGAAAGAACTGTATTCCTAAGTGTACTATTTCTATAACAGCCGTTAAGATTTTGCAAATTCCCTGAAAGTATTTCCTAAGTTCCATTGAAACTTTCATGTGACTTAGTGTATTTATTGAATTAACAACATAAATAAATTCCGTCTTTACTGTTTCTAGTTGTTTGATTTATCAATATAAAAATTTTCACACTTAAAATATTACATTTTGATATTATATGAAACGTCTTATGACAATTTACCAAAAGGACGTTATGACGCTTACATTGTTTTTAAATCGCAGTCACCACACGTCACAAAAGCAAATTGATAAGGAATAGTATTTAAATTATTCGCATCTAAAAATGAATTAAAAATCTGAAAAAAAAGAAATGATTAATTAATTATTCATATTATAAGGAGTCGAAGATATTGTTGAATCTCATAGTTTACATTACGAACTGATCTGAGTAATACAACCACAAATATCATCAATAGCATTAAGGAGTATTGCGAATTGATTGCAACAAACATATAAATCATTGGATGCCAAGTCAGTGATTTGAAGGTCAAGGTTTCGATCCACAGTGAAGTCGTGTGTGCATGCTATTCAAGAATTCAATACTACAAGAAAACAATTCTCAGTGTATTCTAACAACTAGTGGTTTTTCAACTAACAAAATTCTATGATGCAGACTTTGAAATTATTCACAGATATATAAATAATAGTAAATATATTGGTAAATTACAAAAACCATTAAGATATGACCAAACATTAGATCACTTTATATTTTGACAAGATAAAAATATAACCTACTGACTAATTATGTCTTAAAGATAGAAATATATTTATATATAAGATAGATTATTATTTACGTCTGTTTACTTTGAGTACAGTTGATAAATCCGGTTGATCGTCTACCATGGATTGTATTATACCAGTTAGCTGTGAAGTGAAATTTAAAAACAATTATATTTCTACTTTGAATAACTGTATTTATAATTTATGGAAAAATATGAAAATAAATCCTGACAACTGATTACAATTAGTATATGAGAACTTTCGTCTAAATTTGATCGAATAGTTTCACAGTATTTGGGAGGCGAAATCTGACTCACACGTTCTTGTCGTGCTTCCTGGATCATGGAAACCATCCCATGTACTAACGTGAGCGGTAATGTAGGTGGAGGAGATCGGCCTAATCAACCACTCTACGTATACCCACAAATGATTACGAATGCTACAAAGAGTCATTGCATAACTATTGAGGGTTCAAAAGGTTGGTAACAAAAAACGAGTCTGCCCAGAAACGAAAAAACAAATGAGAGTGTTATGTAATGGTTGTGCGTAAGCAGTGCAAAAACAGTTTTCCCGCCCCGGTAGTTGCGCCGTGCTTCGGTGTAGCACTCTTCTCCAGAAGGGCCTACTAGGCTTTACCATGTTCTTATGGCTGGAAGTAGGAATTCGGGTGTTGAGTTTATATGAGACATTAAAGAGGAATTATTTTTAAATAATTACAATTAGTGTTTGACATAAAGAAAAAATCAAACTTATAAGTTAAATCCAAAACTTAAAAAATATATAATCATTGTCACAAAACAATAAAGAATGAGTATACATGTATCATCGCAATGAACTTTGAAACATGTTACTTATAGCACTTTAAATAAAGTCAATTTATTTTCTTATAATTAATTATATATCTTTATTTAATCAATATGAAAGTTTCTCATTTGTATTGTCATTTTATTAAACTAAATTGTGACAAAATAAGTTGAATTATTGTTTTAAAAAAATTATTCATTGCGATGAAAAATAATGAAAATTCTATTTGAGCAACCATTCACTAATGTCTTCAGTGAGTTGATATCTCTATACAGTCCTGGTTGGACTCTACTGGTTCTCACTAGAACTGCTGAGGAGTCCCACAATAGGACGAAACGGCGGTCCAGTGCTTCCACGATTTCTACGGTGGTCTAGCTCCAATCGACTAATGATCTCATCTATAGAAATTTCCAAAAAACTCCATAAAACCTCTTTCTCATAATGATCATATGCTCACTAGTGACTGGCTCTATGAGGTATTTCCTGGAGTTCTAGTGAGAAGCAGTGACCAGTGGAGTTCAACCAGGTCTGTTGTGTTGCATCTCCTCACGATGCTCCACTGACTTGTGGATCAGACCTTTAGGTCAAAGGCTCGGGGTGTGGCCCCCTAAGAAAACCACATGCTTCGGTCTGGGCACCCGGGCAGTATTAAAGCCCTAGCACAAATCAAATGAGATTTGTGCAGCGCATATGTATCTGGTGCTTTCTTGTACCGATATTTATGTGTTTAAATAAATAAATAAGGTCTGTTGTGAGAAAGTAACTCACTGAAGACATTGGTGAATGGTTGCTAAATTTCGTGGATTGGCTGAAGTTAGACATTAACACCATCAGATGCCGGCTCAGTGGTCTATGGGTTAAGTGCTCGCGCGCGAGACTGGTAGGTCCTGAGTTCGAATCTCGCGAGGCGGGATCGTGGATGCGCACTGCTGAGGAGTCCCAAAATAGGACGAAACGGCGGTCTAGTGTTTCCAGGCTTTCCATGGCGGTCTAGCTTCAATTGACTCATGATCTCACCTATATAAAATTACTAAAAAATCTCCACAAAACCCCCGTCTGAAAATTCTATTTATTTAGTGATAGTATTGATTCAAAAACAATTTTGTTTTTTGAAAATAAATGTTAAAATAAAAAATGATAGGAATTTAAATAATCAATAAATTTGATTGATATATTACTTGAATGATTTTTATTATAATACGATCAACAATGTACGACATATACTTGTTAATGTAAAATTATGTAGAAGTATGACTTCGTCAAATATGTACATTGAATTGATAATTTAAAATAATTACATTATAATTGAATATTTTAAATCTTTAAATTAATAATTAAGTGTTATAATCAATAATATAAATTATTTAACAGTCGAAAACGAATTGGCATATAGTTCCTATTTAAACATTAAAATTTTAAAAAAAACACGAAGTTCAGCGAAGGGATCTCTTTTCAACGAATTTATTATCAAGATGTACAATCGTATATATATATATATATATATATTCCGGCCCAGTGGTCTATCGGTTAAGGGCTTCGGCTCGAGACTGGTAGGTCCTGGGTTCGAATCTCGCGAGTGCGGAATCGTGGATGCGCACTGCTGAGGAGTCCCATAATAGGACGAAACGGCCGTCCAGTGCTTCCAGGTTTTTGATGGTGGTCTAGCTTCAATTGACTCATGATTTCAACTGTGAAAATACTAAATTTCTCCACGAAACCACCTCTGATCTACAATTGGTTTAGTGAATATAATAAGATGATTAAAATAAATAAAATATTTTTGTTACAATAATTAAAAGTCATTAAATGTCATAAGGTGTAAAAATAAATGAGGTGATATGATGACGTACTCCTTTTGTACGCATAGTTCTGGTTTAAGCTCATGGATGGTAAGAGCTTCGGCTATCTTTAGGAGTTGGATACGAAGATATCAAGATAGATTTGAATGAATCATATAGACAACCTTGAAATCAGACTGTGGATCCGTAGAATGATTACAGTCGATTAGGTGTTCAAGTATGGAACTCCTAACGAATTATCTGTAATCTAATAGATATTTTCGGAAAGTTATATAGATGGAGAAAATGATCACCTTGGAAACAAATTTTTACATTAATTAACTTTATAGACAAATTATATTATATATGACTGTAATAACAGTCTCATAGTTAAAATGCAAAAGATTGTCACAAAATACACATTGACTTATGGTGTATAAAATAATTTTTAGACTTTTGATGAAAAACACATAAACGACAATTTAAAAAATTATATAACCTGTAAGATGATGGTATGTAATGTTTTAGGCCAGTATAAGTGTGTAACTTTGATTTGAAAGCAAGAAAAGTAAGAAATTCGTTTGGAAGTGGTGAAATGTTTTTCGATTTATAACGATTCTTCAGATATTCAGCTATCTTTAAATGAAGTGCCGATCATATAAAACTGCTTAATATCAAATAATGAGTAAATTATTTATTACCAGTCTTTCAATATTGCAATACTTTTAACCGAGTCGTTATTAACCCATTGTAGGAGATAAAAAAAGAAGGCTGAAGCCAGCTTGAAAAGTTGTAAGAAACTATATTGACTGAATGTCTTAATTAGCTAACTAACTAGAGTAACAGAGGTCATTATGAGTGACTTATCAGTCAGTGTTTCATATGAGATATAGATTCCTACATTACGCTTTATTCAATTGAAGCTTTATCAAGAAAAAAAGCAAGTTTTTCAAATTCTACTTACTTCTGTACAAAAGTCACTTAATACTGGATTAATAGTAGGACGAACATAGCGATGGAAAACAGCTTCAGTTTGCAATGTAGAAGCATTTATCATGAGAACGGGAAATTCGATAATTTCCTAAAAACATGAAGAAAGAAAAACATTCTTCAAATATGAGAGTGAAGACAAAAATCCAAATAATTCCAACGTCGAAAAAGTATAATTGAAATATTTTGCCAGAATCTGTGAATATTCCATGCTACGTATAGCATTCATATTGAGAAACGATAATATCGAAAACATTGAGTTAACTACAAACTAGTCGTATTGATAAAAGTGTTAATCTATAGATGAAAAGTTGGAATATGAATTGTAGAATCATAGTTCCAAACGAAGTTCCATTGTTGTTTTGATCATCTAGTTAAAAGCATATAGATTAATAAAATTTGTATGGTTCGTCCAATTTATTTGGCTAAAATACTGCTTATTTGTTTGAACACAAACTTGACACAATACAGAGTATGGAAGACATCACACATTGTTAGGATTAAAAAGAGACAAAATCTGGCTAGAAAGTATTATGGAGAAGGAAGAGTTCCAAAGTGTTGAAAGGAATGAATAAAATGAGCTGATCGATAGATCAAATGGATTGATATCATGTAACTGAATGACAATCGTTCAGGCGGCCAAATTGTTAGCTTAAACACCTAAATGAACCTACATCAAGATAAGAATACTAATTAGGGAGAATAAGCCACTCATCCAGTAAGATAATACTCCTATACACAAATTATTGACAGAAAAACGAACATGCTTCCAAAATGTAGATTTTAAAGAATTGGTATTTTAAGTCACTCACTATCTTTTAAATTAATTGATTTGGCTGTAAGACCCAGATTTTGTCTGTAATCTGAGCAAGGGGGTAGCGACTACATAAAACATAAGATTTCGGTCATTTCTAATATTATGTAATCGAACTTATCAACTAATGTATAAAGAATATATGAAGACATTCTGAGTTAAACTCTGTCTTATAATGAAGATATCGGAGGTAGTCTATCAACATACGCTCCTGGGAGGACATGCAGTAGCAATCATGTAAAATACACTGCAGTCTTTAAGATGAAAAAGACCAAATAAACTCATTTGATCAAACCCTTGTGAGAAGTTATTAACTTGCTGTTACACATTTTTAAAATAAAGGAGTGACTGTGTACAAGTTGTTTCAATACTGTATGCAAGAGCTTGAAACATGACGGTCAAAATAGTACGCAATCGACAGACACGATGAATGTCAAACAACCTTCCAGTAACCTCTTACTGTTAACACACAGTTTAACCGATGCCAACTCATAACAAAAACTCCGCTTTCTTCTCAAGCAATTTTGTGTATATAATATTGAACAAAGTGAGTGCATGAGATTTTCAAAAAGACTTCAGTTACCTGTATTTACTAAAAATATCTAGTCAGATATAGAGGAGTTAAGTAAATCTAGCAGAAAGTTATCAGAAAGTACAGATTAGAAAATAAGCGAAACCTCTTCAAAATATCTCTTCAGATGTTTAACATTTTAAACACGTAACTGTCTGTTAAACATTAGATATTAAATTTAATTACAATAAATATGATGAAAAGAGACAATGATTGAACTGTAAAACAAATACGAAGTTAATTTAGATTTAATTTGCATTAATCTTGTTCATTTGTTGAGAAAAACATCGAAAAAGCAAATATATATATACTACGTGAATCTGTTGCAAAATTGATCCGTACCAAGTTATGGGTTACATCTAATATTTATCTGACGACAGATTTTATTAGTGAGTTGAATAAAGCTATAATCGATTCCACAATGTAATGTATCCAAGCTCAACTGACTGACATTCTATTAGGTAAACATACATGATTTCTTAAATATACAACTCAATCAATGTAAAATATACAGAAATATGTAAAAATTAACAATGGCAGAAAAAGGAATTATTGTCATACAGCAACTGGAAGTTTTCTATCTTGTTCACAAGTCGCTTCGAAATCCAAAACCATAAAGTAGGCAAATTTCTGTACATTTTTCATTTGTCCATTACGGATAGAGTTGAAAATTTTGGTTGCCTAAAATTATTGTCATGTTGAATTTCAAAACAATAATAATACAACATTAGTGTAAAAAATGACAAATTATAAACAGTCATTCAAAATGTCATACATTAAGAATTTTATACAGAATATTAAATTATTTTGAATAAAAAGCAATCTGAAACAACTATATATTATTTGAATTATCTTACAGCTGACGTGTCCCAAAATAGGACGAAACGTGAGTCCTGAATTTCCCTGCTAGCCACAATCCATCCATCCTAAACTATGTATTGTTCCATAAACTTTAATTGTTATAAAGAAGAAATCAGTGATTTAGTTACATTTGTTTGTTACTGTAGTTTAATTTTACAATATAGTGCATTGTCTTCATACAACAGGTCATCGATCAAGTAATGCATAATAATACTGTAATAATTTTTCTTATTGCTTAACATTCTTGGACATTAATTTACTCGACAAGTACCCAAATCAGAACATTGTTAAACAGGAATGTAATTATATTCCAAATAATAAAGTTGAATTGAAGTAGGAATCACAATAAGAAATTCGTTGGTAATTTTGTGTTTTTACATAAGAAGATTCTGGAGTCTTCTCTAAGCGCTGATTGGTTAAGAAATGATCAATCAGCGTGCCCCAGCACAATCCTGCAAGTACTTTAATCCAGCCTATATTGCGCTAACAACTACCCCAGTTCAATCTATAGAAATGTGAATATTGATCGATATGAGTAAAGCCCAGTGGATTCAAACATCGGTTTTGATCTGTTCTGAGGGCCTAACAAGCCCATATTTATAGTCTTTGTCTTCTTTCTTGCATCGAACTATATCAGTCGGTGTCCAGTTATGATATAATTAACTCTTCAGCTAAAGTCAATTTACAATGTGAATTATCTTTCTTTAAATTATACTAAAGGTTTCCACAAAAATACTTGGACAAACAAATTCACGCCAATTAGAATAACTAAACCTTTATTTACCAAATATAAATGACAGATATATTACAAATCACGTAGTCAGTTATAGGGAATGAACGGTCTAATACGAGTATGTACCGATCCAAGTCAAACCTAACGTTGAAACAACAGAAAAGAAGGATGTAGGCAAGATGACAGGAAAGTTATATCAATTACAGTACCGAACTCAATGTAAGAAGCATACCTTAAAAGAACAAACAAGAATGAAAGTTGAGAAGTATGGGATAAATATAAGCTCAACATTTAGAGGAAGGTTAGAATGAATGCAACAAAGCTATTGTAACTGATTATAGATAATTTCACACAATGTTTTCAACCAAAGATAAAGATTATAATACAGACATTAACATGAATAAATCTGTTAGTCTGAACATCTTGGAAGAATACTTCATAAGTTAGTGTTACTTTGTCATTTGATCGCTTCTAGCTTTCTTCTCCTACACCAACTAGTGTTATATCCACTGTTAAATAGTTAATTATTTTACTAATTTTCACAAAGAAAAGTCAGGTTTAACTCTTAGAAACACTTATTAACTGTTAATTTCGTGATACAATCAATAGTGATAGCAGTAATAAAAATAATAATACTAATAAATTAAGGCAAACTGGTGAACTAAGAATAATTACAAATAAATAATTATTCTTTTTAACCGTTAAAACAAGTATTCACTCAATAAAAACTCCCACTATATATTCTAAAATATCTATCTACTTAAGGATATTTTTCCCATATGAATGTTGGCTGAATGATTATTTGTGTCTAGTAAGGTATCTTACTTAGATTACTTAGAAATTTAAGTCATTCTAGTAGTCTGAATAATGATTCACACTACACATTTTCTAAATATCGAGAAAAGTATAATAAAAGGAACAATACAAAACCTTCGATTTTGGTACAAAATTTAAAAATCGATAACTTTTTATTTGATATCATATTAAAACCTAAATAGTAATGGTAAGCAAAGATGGATAGTGGCTAGCAATGGAATCCAGGACGCGAGTTTCGTCTTATTTGGGACTCGCCAGCCGGATGTACCTGCATCCCAGAGTTGATGTTCCATCTGGAACTCGAACCCAGTACCTTTCGCTTCAAACGCCATCGCGTTATCTACTCGATCACTGAGTCAATGCTTACCATGCTTGTGAATTTAGGCTATATCGAGGCAATACGCACAGTATGCCGATTAGAGACTGACCAGTTGCAGTCCTAAAAACATCAATGAGAAGATCCAAACAAACAATACTAACTAAATAGTAATATCTTTGTATATTGGTCAGAAATATCCGAATTTAGTTGAAATTTATTTCGTTTTATAACGGAATTAAAATGATGTTAAACATATATATATATTTATATTCCAAAACATAAGAAATAACAGGAAATAATTTTATTGAGCAACCTCGATTCATAGCATCTTATTATTATAACACCACAGAAGCGCAACGAACTGATCACGTATAAGTTCATATAATAAGCTATAAGTTACACTTAATACCATGATTAGTAATGTTATCCGATACTGTCTAAAAAAAATTTAAGTCGTCGTTAGTTTAGATTTGTATACTAAAACCCCATAAACCACATATGAGCAAAAAATCCTACAACTATACTTCAAACATTTAAGCTGAAATAGATCAATCCAAGTTGGAATTTATACATCCTGTACAGATTCCCTCGAATTAACTGAGACCTAGGTATATCCAGTAAACAAGTCCCAAATAGAACGAAAAGTGGATCCTATATCTCACTGCAAACCACATTCTATCTCATAAAAAAACGTGTGATAATGACATAGAGTCAATCTCAAGAGAATCGACATATATCAACTAAGACTGATCAAAATTCAGTCCCAAATATTAACAAACTGGATTAAATACATCTGATGGATAAGAATCTAAGCTAATTATATATACCAGTATCTTTAAAAAAAGGACTATATCATCTACATATTCTAGGTCAACAAATGAACCTCTTGGTAAAAGATCAATACCAGAAAATTCAAACGATGAGAACATTATTTCCAGTAGTAGGACTATGATGGAATTAAACAGAGATGGAGATAGAAGACAATCTTGTCGGACACCACTTGAGGTTGCAAAATCAGATGACAGTTCGCCATAAGCTCTTACTCGACTGAGTGTTCCATTAAAGAGCCTTCACAAGGTTTATGTACTTTTGAGGTACGTATTTCAATGAGATACTGCCACAGAACCACTCAGTCTACAGAGCCAAATGCTGCTTTTAAATCAACAAAGACCACAATTGTCCGACGTCGATAAACATACCTGTGTTCTAAGATCTGACGAATAGTATGTGGTCGATGCAGCCACGACCAGGTCTGAAGCAAGCCAGATAAGAGTGTCATCCCCATAAGAAATTGTTTCACACTTGACTTCTTAACTCACGTTTTTTATTAGTCCGAAAAGTTGTCTTGTGTTACTTACAATCACTGCCTTTTCCATTCGTTATCCACCACCACTCACGATTGTTCCGTAGACTACTGGTCAACAGAGATCTGTTATTTTTTTTCGCTCTTCAGCGTGTTCAAAGCCTGATAGGATGAGCTTACGAGAGCCTGTCAGCACATTAGATGTCTCAAATCCACTGATTTTTCATAACTCTTTGGTCCAAATCACTAATAAATGTCGCCGTTGTTTCCACAGCTAATCGTACATCTATCCAAGCAACATCTCGGCCAGTCTCGTCTTCGAAATTACTTAAGTGTGACTTCAGTTGTTCCTGAAATTTACCATCTGCTTTTTCTTCACTGAGTTCAACTCTAATAGCTTTCCTTAATGTGGCTTTTCTGTGTCCAGTGAGACGCAAGCAAATGCGTACTAGTATTAGAGCATGATCACAGTCTAAACATGTATTCCAGAACGAGTAGCAGTCTTCTATTGAGCCTCTCCAACGAGGACTGATGGCAATATGGTCGACCTCAGCCCAGTTGGTTTGGTGCAGTGAGTCGTCAAGTTAGACGATGTCTCTCCTTATGCTTAAAGTTAGTGCTTATCAGAAACAAACGACAGTTTGGGCAACAGCAGACGACCACTATTGCCTGTTCGCTGGGCCGGACTACTAAAATATCCACCTAAATGTCTTTCTCTTTGGTTTAATCTACCTACTTGGTCATTAGAGTCGCCTGCCACAAGTACTATGTCTGAGTGTATGTATTTTCGCAAAAGTTCAGAATGCTTTCTGTAAAAGTCATCTTTCACTTTATCCGGGATGCAATCAGTAGGAGCGAATACAGAAACGACAAAAAGGCAACGACGTGTGTAACTATCCTTCCGAGTTCTTACGGACCCGTTTAGCAGAACAGAACATAGGCGACTGCTAAGGGGGATCCATTTTCATAGTACTTCTTCTGCCCTCGTACTCAGTGCTATGTCTACACTCACCAGTCTACGAGAATTAGCCATCGGGTCAACAGATAAACAGAAACTATGCCTCACCGGCCTCCCCATTTCGGCTAGGTGACGCCAAGTGAGTAACCACACTAGGATCCTGTATGTGTGCTTCGAAAACGCTAGAATCGTTGGCCATAGTGACACTTGAGGAGGAAGTCAAACGAGGAAGTTTAGAGTTGAAAGTCGAGGCAGGAGGAATAATAGGAATTGAAGAGGAAAACTGATTATGAATACAGTGATCTTCAGTGCTGTTAGACATGAGAGGGCGGTCATCACTTTCCGGTTACCCACATTGTGGAACGGTTTTTCTAGTGGTACCTGAAAAGGAAACTGGGTTAGAGATGGTCTTAGTGACCTGAGAGTGTGACCGAAGTGTCCAAGGGACAACTGCTTGAGGCCAACCACACACAATCTTTTCGTCAGTATGTTTCGATTTACTTTCGTAATTGTTGGGACCTTACCACCGGAAACGGAAATCCATAAGATTAGATGAGGTGTGCATTTTTAGGGTAGACCTTTCCTAACACCACTCTTCCTTGTGAGAAGGCAGCACCGCTGTTATGCTGGTTGTCTGGAGGAAACACCTTACCATCGCCACACCTCTGTACAATAAACAGTACAACTTCGCCCTCGGACCTCGGGTTTGCTGCTTTCCGTCTTACCGCTCTTCAAGAGACCTGTTTGGCATGATAGGACCTTGGGGAACAAATGTTCCAAGTACTATAGCTTGATTAGTTCATCATGATGGACATGCCTGACCATCACGTCAAGTTAGCATCAACGGTCAAGATATATATATATATATATATATATATATATATATATATATATATATATATGCCAATGTATGATGCACTATATGAGATAAGGGTGAGCTCTGTACTTTTACAAAATCTCTAGAGTCGGACAAATTTGACATATCACAACCATTGTATTGAAAGAATCAGTAACTTAAAACATAAGCACAATGAATTACCATTAAAAGTCAATTTTACAAACCAAGCAACCTGGAGATATAAAAATCAACCCCCTCAACACTATCAAGACAGTATGATTAGAACTCTCATGGATTTGCGACCCCGACCAGTTAGGGCGAAAAAAGATTAAAGTCAACCAAATTGATTTATGTTAATCAGACTATCGAGTTAAGGTTTTCAAGCTGAATTAAATTCTGAAATCTACGACATTCAGTCCATTTTCTAAGACAGGAAATCTGAGTAAAATAAGTTATCTATCATAAGCAAGTACTACTTGGACAATCGGAAAATTACCAAAAAACCCTTTATCATGTAGATTTTAAAGTTCCAATACAAGTGACCTCTTGAATATAAAACAATAATTCGAAGTCAAATATCACTAAATTTCAGACATGTTTGAAATCAACAAATGATGAAATAAGAAAAACACTCAATGTATATGGATATATTACTTATATTTATTCACAACATGCAAACCATATACAAAACTTTAAAAAAAACATGATAGATATAAGGGAATCTAGTTAGAAAAATGAATTGTCTTAATTCGACCACAAAGAATGTAAAATCATATTGGATTCATGTTATGAGGGACGCGAAATATACATTTCTGTGACTGATAACATCACAGAAAACAATAGCGATGCTTGTCATATCTAACAATTGCCAATTCTTTTCAGCAAATTTGTTCCCATTTCACAAACATTTTTGTTAAGAACACCAACTAAAGTTTTAAGGGTTAAATGTCTTATTAAAGAGCAAAGGAACAGCTCAAAGATATGTATGCTCAAAATAGACATTAGTTGGAAAGACTTGAACGCAGTTCGATGAATATCACACTAGATCTCTTAGTTCTGATAACGCAATATCTTGCATTTATTCATTACATTTAGAACCCACTACATCACTACAATTGAAGCTCAATAGTATTAGCCTGTTAATTGAATGGTATATGATCAATAATCACTGGAAGCATAAGAATAATATCGGCTGAAATAGAGAACAAAACCACTTTTCGGATATGAACAACTCCCGTCAAAATATTATTCTCCTCACAGTTATATTCGTTGTCTCAATGGTAAAGATATCACACTCATAAATGATTGCTTTTTCATATTCGCAAATAACAAGTTTGGTGAATCTAGCACATGTATGGTAGATCTGTATCCACTGTATGAACATACCACAAGTTATCATGTTCCTTGCATTCTGTGAAAATGGAAGGGCTTGCTTCATTCGATGTGTGTGTATGACTATACTTGTTCCGTGTTTAAAAATATGACTATGATTATTTCATTGAAAACATGTACACCAACCACAAAAAGAATAACATGTCAAGAGATAAGAGTATTGATAACTGAATAATATGAATAGTGAGATATCAGAATATCAACAAAACAGTTCCATATGAAGATATCTTCTTGATTGTTTAGCTAAATTACGTCCAATCATGAACAAACGCACACAGACTAACTATAATGGTTTACGTTTGTAATCATTGCATACACAATATTTATAACAAAGGAATTCCCTTGTTTTTTCATGATTAAAATACAATCAGAAACTGATTAAGGAGTAATTAAACACAAAAAATAATTATAATAAATTTGTAATGAAAAAAACACAGTCAAATGAAAATAGATAAACATGTATACACAAAGAAGAAAAACCCAATATCGATGAAAAAAAATATCTAAAGTACATTCAACAATGTACATACACGCATTTAAATTAGCATATATCATCCTATATGTGTATAGGTCAATTAATCTACCAAGATTAATTATATATTCCATTCAAACAATCTGTATAGATATAAAATAAATAGAAATTTAAAACAAAATTTTCTTTAAATGCAATTTAAATCATTACAAGAAAAAACAAAAAATGAGATTAAGGTTCAAAAATATAGTTCATTTAAAGAAAGATAAACAATAAATGTTGTGCGAAGAAATGAGGAAATGTTATAAGGAGAGGAAAAGAAACAACGATGGTAAAATGGATAAGAATAATAACAATAAGCAGGGGGAATTTAATTACATGAAAGACAATCAAGGTGTGAAATAGATGATTTCTTCCTTATGATGAAATCACTTTAAAGATGTTATATATATATATATATATATATATATATATATATATATATATATATATATATATAATATTAAGGGTATTAAATCATACTGGTTCATATTGTCAACAATGTGCACTGAACTTCAAGAGCAATGATGGATATTATTATATTGAAGATTAGACATGTGGAAAATACGAGGATAGATTAATGGATTAGTTACATAATTTAATGGATTTGTCAAAAGAATCAAAGACACAATAATAATGGTCAAACCAACCTCAGTGTGGAAAATTAAAATGTTAGCCGATCTCTAACGCTAAATGATATCACATTTGTTTCTAAGAATGAGATTCAGACGCATCACAATGTCTGTTATTGTTATAGTTATGAACAGAAGTAGACTGTAATGTTGGTAAAGTTCGATCAACAGACGCAAGTATTTCTGAAGCCATTTTACGAATAAGTCTAGCACAAGCAAGTTGAGATTCATCAGGTCCTACAAATGCTGCAATACCTTCTGCACTTTGTCCCACAGGTTCAACATGTGCAACTGTTGACGATTGTCTTAAAGATTGTATCTGCACACTTTCTGACATGAAACAATCACCGGCAGGTGCTTCACACAAAGCAGGTACTTCTGAGGAAATATCAGAATCTGTTGAAGGAGAATATACACTGGAAGGTTGAGGACGAATAACATTACACGAAGTGGTTAAAGATCTTATCGGATCATTGTTTTTCACACAATAATTGTTATTATTCTCGACATTATCATTTTTATTATCACGATAATCATTATTTATACTACGCGTCTCTTGATCAAATAATTGTCGTTGTAAATTATGGGCGCATAGAACTCCTTCATCAAAAGAAACAACTAGTCTTAGAAATGATAACAGTGGTTGACATTCACACAAGACCGGTACATAACGTATTTCTAGGGGAAAAAGGAGAACAAAAACAAAACTGATGTATTGGTTGACAAAATATATAAAGAACAATTCAAACGTAAATAGAAACTATGGAACAGACATTTGAGATTTGAATTTTCAAACACAAGCAAAAAAACTAATTGGAGAACATGGTTAGTAGTACCACAAAATTATCCAACCTTTGTTAACAATAAATCAGCGAAATCGACTGAACTGAAATCTAGTAAAGCATTCCGTTTCATTTACGAAAAAATGCATTACAAGCATTCGAGTAGCAAAAAGGATACGAAAATACGATAAGTCATGAAAATTTATAGTCGACCCTGTGGTATATATATATATATATAAACGGTCTTGCAGCATTCTCGAATAAAAACATATCACAGGCAACGTAGAAGCTGGCACAAATATTCATCAGTTCAAGCTTCCACACATCAGCACGGTGAGATGAAATTATTAAGGCGAATCCCAGGATAGTGGAAGTACTAACAGTATCATTTGTAATAGGAAAGATTAGATATGGGAAGTAGGATTCTAGAATAAAGAGAGAATATATGGAATAAGAAGTACAAGATAATTTTGGAGCTCAGGATTTAAAACAAGACAGAGAGAATGAATCTCATTTATGTGACCCATATCCAAACACCGATCGCACAGACCTCAATCAAGTAGTCAGTACCCATGAATACGGTTTAGTCCAGAAATCATTAACTTCGTGAACTGATGCTACATTTACGTCATTTACCAATTACTGGTTTATCTACTCGTTTTTTATTTTGCTTATGAGGGCTATTGTTGGCACCTGGCTGCCCGAATTGAAAGTGTCAAACGATTTTAAACATAAAACCTACTGACTGAAAGCTAATTGTGCTACAAACACTAAGACATTGATCCATAAAAAAGTAAAAGTCAGGTAAATTTAATTTGACGAATAAAAAAATGAAAAGACATTAAAGGATGATAAAACAAACCTTTTCTGGTTAATATATGATGTATAGCCCAAACAGCCCATAAATGTATCTCTAAACGACTTTCTGGATGCAAAACTAGCAGACCGAACGGTTCAAAAGAGCGATAGGCGACCATTTCAGAATGTGGCGGTTGCCAATTACAAACAGCTTGACCCTGGAATAAATAAGTTAAAATCAAAATTAAATTCCAGAAAAAAGTAATGTGTACACTACGAATAAGTACGATAATCTTCTCATAGAGGAAAACAACTGCTTTAGAAAGAGGAAGAGAAAAGCATGTGAGATTTAAATCTAAAAGAAGACTAAACATAAGACAATTACAACAATTCAGTTAAAACCATATAAAGATATGCAAACTTTCAGCAGCTAAGCGGGAGGCTAAAACAAAACATAGTACAAGTCCAAAAAGTCATTAGCAATGGAAAGGAGTTCTGTTAACAATTCCAGCTTATATGGTCATGATGCACGAGACTGTCAGAACCAGTGGTTGGAGACCTTGGGTGACATGGTTCAAAATGACGCAGGTATAACAACTCGTTTTCTTTACGATTTTAAGCTTCCGAATCCTTTATAATTTTTCTTATTTTAGTGATTTATATTTTTACGAATAGTACCTTTCATGCCCAGTCTTTTCTATCACCACTATTACTCTGGAATGTACCCTAGTTATCTCATCTCCCTGTGCTACTGGGGTGTGAGAACTTGAACCGATGTACACATATATCTGGCCCTTCATTCCGCTTGACTGACAGAGGCAGACAGACAGTAACAACGTACAAATTCGTAAGTATGTACATCACTTCGAGTTGCCATATCACATTAGCACAAAGATACAGTTGTCGACTCAAATCCCATAATGGCAAACGGAGTAAAAGTAAAAGAAGTAATCCGAAAGATCAGGGCTTGAAGATGTTATTCAAAAACTATAATCCAGAGAAATAAATTCGAAGAGAGGAAAACGATGTCGGCCATATATCATCTTATGGAACTTTTTCACTGCAAAGATAATTGATAGGGCTTCTTTCTCAATCTGACTATAGTTCCTTTCGGTCGTTGTCAAAAATCTGGCAGCGTGTGAGGTAGCTTTTTCAGACCCACCAGGAAAAATGTGAGAGATAACTGCACCCACACCATAGTTAGAAGCATCTGAAGCGACGACTATCGGTAGCGAAGGATCATAATGCGTCAATAAGAGATTGGAAGTCAGGAGTTGACATTTTACTCAAATAACAGACCATAAACCACTACTTGCAGTTTTTGGGTCAAAGAAAGGTATTCCTGTCCATACAGCTAACCGACTCCAACGATGGGCAACCACACTTCTGGGTTACGACTTCAAGATCAAGTATCAGTCTACTACCACCTTCGGACAAGCTGACGCATTGTCAAGATTAATAGGCTCCCAATCAAAAAGCCCATGATTTTCTGTACAAGAACGAACCTTGGAGTAAAGTATTTTTCTCTCATACTTGCGACTTCTCTCTGGTGTTCAAGTCGCTGAGTAGTTCTAGCCTGTGGGTTACCAGAATAGCTTAGGAAAACGAATATAGCGTTCAATCGACAAGACTTATCAGCAACTCAATCCTGAAGTAACCTTTTTTCATTTCGGGGGGGGAGAATCACATCTCGAACCTGCCTGCATTTTGGCTTATAGTGGTTTGAAGATTCTACATTTATTCAGCGTCTTCGTCAAATAGAATCATGTCATCGGCGTTTTATAAGTCAACAATCGAATCTCCTGGTAGAAGTTCAACTCTTCTAAATTCGGATGAGGAAAGTGTTATTTCTAATGCTCGTCTAGGATAAAGTTGAACAAGAATGTAGAGAGTGGACATTTCTGATGAACACCACTTGAGGTAATCAATTCTGATGACAGTTCGTCATAAGCTCTAACTCAACCACTTGTGTTCGAGTAGAGAGCCTTTATGAGGTTAATGTACTTCTTTGGTACTCCTTTCAGTGACAAACACTGACATAGAACCTCACGATCAACGGAGTCAAATGCCGCCTTAATGTCAAGAAATATTACTATTGTGAGGAGTCTGAATGTATGTCTATGTTCTAGGACCCGACGTAGAGTGAATATCTGGTCTATACAACCATGTCCAGGTCGGAAACTAGCCTGGTTTTCTCTAGTCTGCTCTTCATGAGCTTTGGTTAAGCGTCGAAGTATTATTGAGGCTAATATTTTAAACACCATATAAGTCAAACTGATTCCTCTGTGATTGTCACAAAAGGAATTTTATCCTTTCTTATAGACTGGCACAATCAGTGATTGAGACCAGTCAGATGGGATTACGTCCAGTACCCAGATTCTACCTAAGACCTCAGTTAATCTCGCTGCTAGTACTGGACCTCCATCCTTGAAAATTTTAGGGATAAATCTGTCAGGGTCTGCTGCTCTCCCTCGCTTCAGATTTCTTATAGCTTTCTCAACTGATAGAGGAATTTCTACGGAAATAAATACAACTGTTTGAGGACAGAAAAATGTAACTAGTAATAACCTGTGGGTAGTTTCTCTTTGTCTATATGCCGAAGAGACCGTAGTAACCAACATTCTTTAAGATTGTTTTAATTACACGCTATTGGTTCAATCATTAAATTGGATCGATTCATACACCTGTATCCATAAACACAAACAAGTTACAATGGCGTGAATTATCATAATTTAACATCTATTCTATTTTCTGTATTAAGATGGAAACAGAACATTCTAAATTTCAGTAATAAATCCCGCCTATACAAGGAAACAATCAGAAAATTGAAGAAAAAACAAACCTTACCAATAATTTCACATAGCTCTCACGACTTGACTGAATATTACGCAACCATATCTCATCTTTTAAACATGACAGATGCGCAATAATACCAGCAGCAAAATAACTTATCTGGATACAAGGATGTCTAAGCATTTTGCTGCATTTAAAAAAAGACAGAAACATATCGTTAAAAAAAGACATTAATTAGTAGATGAAATAGCAAATGAAATTATTATCGTAATTACAAATAAAAAATGCGACATTTAATTGGAATGAACGCTTTTTGCTTTTGAAACTGGTTAATTAAAAATTCAACATCGTTAACTGGGGATCAGCTCAATGATAATAACAATGGGTAATAATAAGAATAGCTTGATAGGGATCTCTATGATAGTAAAACGTGATAATGTTTATTCGAAAAAAAAACACGGTTTATAAGTTTCCTTCAAATGATATTATATGTTGTGGGAAGTCCTCGAAAATACATAAACTCTATGGATGACTTCATATATCTGATATGAATCTAATAACAACTTCTAATCATTTGACAGCTGAAGAGTTTCATATGTCTTCCCTTTGACAGGAATTAATAAGTCAAATATAATTCTAATTACTGCGATATGATGAACGATGAAAGAACATCATCTTTTCAATACAAGATAGCTTAATATAATCAGATATCGGGAAGTGAAGCTTAAATAGCAAGATATTCGTAGTTTTACATATTACGTTTACCACGTTTATTTAATAGGTGAGTGAAGGATATTAAAGTTTAATTTTTTACTAACGAATTAATTCTAAGCCTCAACTTTTATTGCATTTATGTCTTTCGTCCACTATTTCGGAACGAGGTCCATTGGATATGCTCATATCAGACGGTTGTGTATAATTAAGTTGTTTGTAATGAAGTCTTTAATCAGAATTACACTTGAATATGTTTAGTCCCGCATTGTAGTGTAATTTTCTCTATCAATTTTCACCAAATAAACGGAAAACGGACAAAAGTGCTGAATACGACACATTTAGTGAACACTGAAAATATTGCGCATAATCTCAGACCACAATAAGTGTTGTGAATACATAAGAGAGAAAACCATATGATTATAATGATGATCAACATATTTAAAGGACATGGTTCAGACTAAAACATAACTGAGACGAATCTCACTTTTAATGTTGCAAAATAACACAGTACGAAAACATGAAAGTATCGTTACTGATTTATTTATGAAGCTATTTTTGACGGTGTCCCACACTCCTGAAACAGCCATGTGTTGATTAATGCTAAGTTAACTTAACAATCCTTTCTGCAACACCAATTCGTATATTGTCCTATGTGTTCGAGGGGATAAGTCAACTCTCAATCTCAAAATATGGTGATAATAAGGGTGAAAACTCCAGTGAAATCCAAATTACTGTCTTTGGTCTGTAGAAGTGACAGGTTGAAAGTGGATACTCGAAAGTCAGTGGAAACAGCGGATTTACACACAGAAGTTGGAAAATTCTGATTTCAAACCAGTTCTGTATAAAACTAATTTACTTACCAGCTTCCAGTGGAATTTGCGCAAAATATTAACAAGCTATGTAATCAATGGTAGCCTTCAAAATGAAGAGCAATTCTATGATATACTTGATTATCTTTTTTACACTTTTGATTATCTATTGATAATACAAATAAACTTTAATTGAAGTAATATTGACGACATACATTTTCTACACCATATATTCTAACTTAATTAGCCAGTTTGTAGATCGTAAATACAGAATTTGTGAGTCGATGATTATTTGCTGATTTCCCAATAAAATATTCTGTTAATTCATGTGAACACACCATAATGTAGTATCAATTAAATAAGATAGTATACAATTTTCCCATTTATAAATTTGAATAACTCTAAGTATAAAATGAAATATGTATTGTAGCTGTAACTTTTAGAAAACAACTATTTATTATCACATCATGATTTCGTCCAGCTGTATAAGCTGTAAAAAGACTAAAACCCGAAAAGAAAGTCCATTTCAAAAGTTTACACATATAAAATAGGGATGAGGTGTATATATGATGATTTTCCAACTCAGAAAATGGCATTATTCCACACAAAATACTGATGAAAAACAAGCTAAAACTTACAAAAAGAAGTTCATCAGACTTTCTTTTAGTAAAGATTCACGTGTTTGCTCGACTTCTGCTACATTATTCTACAAGAAAAGAATACAATACAAAATGCACGAGGACTTTTATTGGAGGCTATTAGGTGCTCACTGTAATCAAAATAAAAATTATTCATGTGCAAAAACATTAAAACCCTACAAATTAACAGGTACTTGAAAAATGTCCCAAAATAAAAATTGGTACTCCATGTAAAATGGTCAGGATGTTAGAACCATGGACTTTAGTTCAATTTCATATTACACTTAAGGAATAATAAATTTAAGTTTCTATTGTTTTATTACTGTCAAGGAGAGCCCAAATTATCTAGCTTTTTTATTACACATCAGTTCCTTTTTTAAAAGGATAATCTCAATGACATCTTTCTAACTCGTGTTTCCACAATGGCCATTGTTATTATTTGACTGGCTGTTATCTCTTTTAGTGTGCTAACTTGATGTGTTCCAAGGTTATGACTTGTTTATTATATAAACAGTGTTTTATCTTTGAAATTTTCGCCTTCTATTCGGAATATAAAGCTATCTTGAAAGTCTCGTCTTCACTGTCTCACATGAACGTGTAGGTCACTAACTCTGAATTATTGTTGAATATCAAACGTCCAATCTACTATAGTTACCATTTGTTTATTTCCGTAATAGAAGAATCTCAATCATTCTATGAATAAAACTTACTATGAGATAACCAAAAAACCCAATGCGTAATCCTTTTCATCCAGACATAACAGTGACATCACAAGTTGGATGAACAATTCACGAAACTCTTAAATCTGACTACCAAAGTATTTTACATAAAAGATTAAAATACGTGTTCCTCAAAATATGGTACAGATGGGGTGGTAGAAATAATTAAGACAATGTAAGGCTACAAATAAAGGTTAGATACAACTAGATGAAACCTTTTTGTGACATCCAATTGCAGGTTATTCTGAAGATACATCATTTGGATTATCAAACGTTTGTTTGGAAACATCAAGAACATGGACGTAACACTGATGATAATGAAAATTTTCAACGGGTTAATAATATGAAGTTATTTCAATGACTAATTGTATTTTTATATATAGCTGAAATCATGAGTCAATTTAAGCTAGGCCACCATGGAAAACCTGGAAGCACTGGACGGCCGTTTCGTCTTATTGTGGGACTCCTCAGCAGTGCGCATCCACGATCCCGCCTCGCGAGATTCGAACCCAGGACCTACCAGTCTCGCACGCGAGCACGTAACCGATAGACCAATGAGCCGGTGGATTGGTCTAAGTTGGACATTGGATGTCTTTTTTTATTGTATCATTAAACCTAACCGCAAAAATACTGTGCACAATGCTAATTAGCCAGCTTAAGTGATGTAATATTTGCTTCCTTGAATGAAGTAGTCTCGCAAATCTTCACTCGAGCTTTTCTCTTTCCTGAAAAGTCAATCAACTCTCCAACCTAGTTTGGCAGAATAGATAAAAACGTAAAACTATAAAGTCCATTATCAATCTTAGGACTGACACGCCACGAAAAGTCTTGTTTAAGCTGATGGTTTTACTGGAATTTCTGAGATACAAGTAGTTTGATTTTCCCGATATAAGCAACGTAGATACATTTCATGATTTTGGCAACTACCTTGATGTGGTAGTTGAATTTGCATTTATTTAGGATATAATCCAGCTATATTCTCTAGAATACTTGTTCTTTTAAGTCCTTTGATCCGAAACAGGCCGATTGGACAGCAGTAAAACTCAAATTACTAACTTCAGGTTGATGGTGAAGTCGACCCCGGATATAGAACACTTGTCTTGAGCTATGAATTTCCTTCGCCGGCAGTAAGGCCTTTAAAGTACGGAGACAAGACATCCGGAAACACTCGTAAAGACACCACGTGAAAAGGCTCAAGTAGTTGCTTCTTGAGTTCTGTGGTCACGCTGCCAAGTCCCCAAGATCAATACTGATCTAGTTTTCTTTTCAAATACCTCAAGATGAAGTATTGTCTCAAGGTCCGGGCGATCGGAAAGTGATAACCTCCAGCATACCTCCAGAAGTACTGGAGACTGATAGATAAATTTAAGAGTAAGATTTACATTTTATTACAATCCCAAAGGGTATGCAAACAAATCATTTAGATTAAAATGAAAAAAACTGTTTAGTAATCATCCGCCGAATAGTGAATATTGTTATACAAATCGACCAAATAACTTGAACTATATTTAGTGTTGATTAATTGAACTAGAACAGGGATTTATGAACAATTATCAATACTGACTAGAAATGAAATAAACAACGAACAGCATAATCAACTGAACTAAAACTTACAAGTAGACCCAGACACTTTGTATAGACATGATTTTTAGTCTCTTCACTTTGGTCAGCAAATCGCTGCGGTAAACAAAACGATACAAAAACACGGATACAAATGAATTGTATAATGCAAAAAGGTGAAACGTTTATAATGAAAAAATATAAATATTGCAGTAATTTATTCATAAATACAAATCCCAACTTTAACATTCATAAAAAAAAAGCTTGAAATGAACTGGTCGATGAACTATAACCGAATGCTGTATTCGAATGCAAGCATTAAACGCATAATTGTAGTGAATGAGAATAAAAGCGGGGACAATCGAATGTATTTGAATACGAGATTATAGAACGTCTTAGTAAAATCTGAGAACCATACAGTAAATAATTCATTTGCAAAATGTCTATCAGTCGTCTCAGACTTCATTGTTCTTTCGTTTTCATACCAATCATTCTCTACTCTCGTTCCCTTTTCTTCGATTTTCTTAACCTTCTACCTCCAGGTATTTCACTTTCGATTGATGATACACACTACTTATGTCTATTGATATCAGTAGCGCACACCACAATAAGACTTCAATTCTCCCGAAACAGGATTACCATAGGCTCAGTTGTATATATATTGCTGATATTTGAACAATATACTTTTTGACAAACGATCAGAATTGATGGAAGTAGTAAATAATAATGATGACAGATGTAACACCCTAAGTAATTCATAGGTGCCTAAGTGATTAAAAGAAAATTAATTTCAACCAATAGATTAGAAGTGTGGATTCTATTTCATTTACTTTGGTTTGATCAGTTAAACAATATCTCTAGGCGTCAGATAGAAAATATAGTTCAAGATCAAGTAAACGAGATAGAACATCATCGACAAAATGAACTGTTCGAACTGCGGAAAACACCACATCGGACAAGGCGGACGCCCTCTTCATCTTCGCCTACACGAACATCAATTAGCGGTCAAGCGCCATGACATATCCTCACATATATCAATGTATGTGGACAACTGTGGACACATTCGACTGAAAAAATGTTTAGATCTTGAATAGAGGCAACTTTGAAAACACCAGAGAATTTTTAGAAGCTTGGCACTCAGGTCAAGCAGCAATCAACAAACATATTGAAATCGATCCAATTTACCAACCAATCATAAAAATTATGGACAAATATAGGATCAAAAATCAAATCCATGGGAGATACAATCAAAATAAGGAAAACAATGATAGGTTAAAGGTCAACAATGACCAATCACGATCAAAGTCTACAGGACAAGCTGTGTGCCATATGTGGAGAAATTCGAACACTTCACTTCTACCTGAAGTATGTGCTGATGATGTTCAGAATAACGATGAAAGCTCCACAACAAAACTCCATCAAAATCAAGTAAATGAACATATATCTGGTTAACGAACTCTGTGGCATTCTAAGAAAACATTAATCTTAGGTAGAGTAGGGAAAGTGTTCGATTAGATGTCCAACTCTTGAACATTACATTGTCTATAGTGTGTTATGAAAGTGACTTTAAACAGAAATATAATGAACGTACATTCAATACTCAAACATTGACTGTCCTAAAGGAGAAATTCGAGAAAAAGTAAAAGAGGTGTAATAATAGAGACAAATGTACAATGTGATAGATTCAAATGATCCAGTTGTAATCCAATCAATGTTAATCATGAAAGAAACCAAATAAAAAATATAAAAACGATCAACATCAAGGTAGGTTGAGGTTCGTAACCAGTTCTTGAAATAACATCACACATTGGTAAGGTACGGATGTCACTCAAAATCTTTCATAATAATTGTCTACTACTAACACTACTACTACTAATAATAATAACAATAATAATAATAATAATAATAATAATAATAAATACAGCACAACTACTACTACAATCATAATTCACCACGAAAGTATCGTCCAGTGGCGGATTTAATTTCAAGAAGAAACTTTCATTCAAATAAGCTACATCAACAACCTGCGACTTCTCTAGTCGAACTGGTGACTACTACTTGCTGAGATGTAATCATAACCCATAGGAAATAAAATAAGCATAGAATATCAACTTACTTTAAGAACTTTTTCATATATGATTAGACCACCCTGACGAACAAATCTTAAACAAGCTTCTGGACATTCATCAGTGAGATTCCATAGAGCGGATAAAGTGAATCTTAATGTAGTATCAAAGATTGGTGCTCCTTCAGTGCGTAGGCGTAACTGTGGCATATAACTTCGTAAGGCTGAACCAAGATCTGGGACATCTGACACTAGGAGGCATTTCTCAGCAACATAACTCAGAAAACATTCAATTCTTCTAGGATCTTTTGCCAAGTCTGATAGACCAGATGTTGAAATCTAGAAATGTTTTCCGCATTATAAATAAATATATTTTAGCTTTTTGTATGAACTAGCTGTCATAGTAGCATCCATTCAATTAAACAAAAAATAAACAATCTTGGTTACTTGAACAGGAACTCTATAGTTTGGACACTTGATTAAGAGTCACTAATACAAAAATCCACACTTACCTATTGTGATATAACCAACAATATATTTCTTACACGCTACATATAGATAATGGCTTAAATAAAGAAAATTGAATATGGTTGTAGGATCAATACATCTATTGTGAATTTTACAAGGTGAGTTTCAATAAAAACATTCTACCAGCTAGTTAGCTATTTTATTTGAAGGGGTAAAATCTAATGAAAGGAAAAAACGTTAAATTGTCGATCGGTAGTAATCAAGATTACAACCTCTTCGTTTCATCCTACCTGGTACTTATTGATCACATGTGCAGTGTGTCGATATTCTCATCCCGGCTAGGTAGCACTTATTGCTTTAAATTTGAAAGCGATAAACAACTATGTAGCGAGATCAACACTTTGATTAACGAATATTAGTTGGTAACCTTTCTGATACCACAGTGCTCGTTTACCAAAAAAAGACGACAGATTTTGTTAACATTTATATTTGTACAAATGTTTCAGCATTGTTAATATGGTATTTTAACGCCAGCTAGCAGTAGAGACAGAAAAGTTCGTTTCATTGAACTTCAACTGTATAAGTCAGTTAATTAGGTATATTAGATGAAAACGACTAGTCGACAACAGATTTACTTTCAACTAAAATTATCATTTAATCCAGTGATAGATAAACTAGCACTCTATTTCGCAGTTTGATCCTTAAGCGATAAGTACGTCATACTAACAGCGCCCGAATAATTGTGGGTGCTGCGTACATCAGCTTAATTTTTGTGATATTGAGATTGAAAAAATTGGTTTTATATATTACGTATGAACATCCTTGAAAACAACCTGATCGCCGTTATAAATCCATTATCGAACAGATAGTGATCATTTTATCAATTTTTTCATATCACTTCATAAACAAAATCTATAGAGATTCTAGTACTAAACTATGAAACACTTTTCACATGATTTCTGATGACAAAATTTATGCTGAAATCATAATGAAAATGACATTTACGGTAAATATATTAACAGACTTAGAAAATTCGTTTGAGGATATATCAGTAGTTTTCTTCAGCACGATGAGTTGATAACAATGAAACGAATCAATGTAAAACACTGACAGTAAAAACAATCGGCCACAGTATAAACAAGTTATGGGATAAAGAAATTTAGGAATTGGTGAACTTGTTTTCGAAGGTGTGTGCTCAAGTGATAATGAACAAACATTTTGTCATCTGTAATAATTTTTTTTAATTGTCTGTATACTGTGCATTTTTGTAATCGAAATAGCATAAAGTGCTTTGATTAGATGTGAGAATTTGCATTTTTACATTCGAATTTTATTTACAATAATTAACTATGTCTGAATGTTGCATCCGAGTTTTGATAAAAATTTTAACTTCGGAAAAGAAAGACACACACTCCATTTCATTACCCTTGCTATACTCCTGTCAGTGAATGTATATCGGGATAAGTGTTTTTTTTCAATCAAGTAGAAATGGAACTGAAGTTGTTAGTTATCGTGACAAGAGCAATAATATGTAGATAATTGATAGATAATTTGTGAAGAACTGACAGATGTTGATAATAGAGATTATTGAAGTTGAAAGGTAGCCAAATGTTTAATAAACAATTATCAAACAAATTTTCATCTAAGTATCCCCATAAGTTATTTTAATACATAGTTTGCTATTTTAATAAACGTTATTTGCGTGTAAACATACCAATAAATCATCATGATAAAATAATGAATAGGGCATGTATAAATTACGCTAACCGTAAAGGATCGGTAAATGAAGCAACCTTTACGCTATCTTAATAATAATTTCTGAGAAAGAAGCAAATAACGTTTATAATTTGATTATTTTGCAAACTGTAATTCTTAATACAAAAGATTTGTTTAGTATAGGTTTAAAAAGGGTGTCGCAAATAAACGCACGATCGTAATTGCGTTATTTTGCCAATCTATGACAAGCATTAATTGTTTATACCTGTAAATTGTAAATTCTATGTAGTTGAGCAGTTTATAATTATGACGAAAAGGTTTACTTCTCTGTGTATGCAATCATGTAAATCGGTTATTGTGCTTATTAAGTGGATGTTAGATATTTTTCATGTAATGTCAACAGTCAATGTTTTGTTAGTATACCGTCTGAACAAATGATTATCTTAATTTTATTTATGTCATTTGTAAATAATATCGGATACGTTACTTATTTAGAAAGTCCGGAATCATTTCTCAAATCATCGGTTCTCTTTGTTAAAAACACTAGACGAACACTTAAAATTTGTATGTACATTTTCGTAATATGTGAATAATAGTTTTTTAATGTCAAACCCGAAATAGATAAACGTTACAAAATTAACCATTTTTGACAAGCATTTGATATATTGGTTGTATTAAGTGTAAATTAATAGGCCTACATGTGACAAAAATTCTTTTAGGTCGATTATACTGCTAAATGTGGAACAATGAAAAATTTTACATAATGATATAAAAAACAACTTACTTCCGCAGCCAGTATAGAAATAATAGCTACACCCATACGCTTCATATGAATATCATCAAACGACAGCAAGTTGTTAAAAACCAGTTCACAACATTGTATACAATTGAAGGTCTAAAATGAATACAATAAAATATATGTAATTTTTATTTAAGTATAGTAGTAAAAAGTATTGTGGACTGCGACGTGGTTACTCGAAATTCTACCGACTGACCAACCCCAGATATTCCAGTACGACCGCAAAATTGTTCCCCAACCTCCAATATATTAGAACACAAACCGTTAGATGGAAATTGTTTATGGGGTCAGAAGAATGAATATAGTTTACAGACAATCCAAATTCATACAGTTAGGACGACCATAAATATTGACCAATAGGAAACGATATGTGAAAAGTCTGAAAACATACCATTTCACGTTCAAGATAGAATTAGACTTAACAGAATAATTTTTGAGGTATTTTTAGGAATATCCTAACAAACAGAAATATACAAATGCAACCTTTAAACAAATAGAGTAGCTGCAGGTTCGCCTGAAAGAAGAGGAAAAAATGTGGGTTACCAGCATAAGGCTCCTTAGTACGGCGATAAGAAACCAAACTTTTAGTAGTATTTCATTCTGCGACCACCCTACATTAACAGATATTACATATTTACATCATATATATATTAGATCGTATGTCATACTAGATGTTTATTGTGACGGATATTTATTTACATCCGACATCACATGGAATAATGTACGATAAGGCTAATGGTAAAAATGAGATAATTGTAAACAAAATACGATTGCCTTGAAAAGTCCACAAGATTATAGGTAACGGAACTCGCTACTTTGCTAAACAGCTAAAGATTTCACTTGGCAAAGTAGATGAATGAAGGCGAGTTCGCTAGTCTCCAGGGTTTAATACCATCTCTCCTAAACTTTTATCGGTAATGGGTGACCGCCATAACTAAACCACAGGAGTATTTGCAAAAAATATGGATAAATTAAGAAATGAGTCGTACTAGAATGTTTTTTCGAGGGATCTACGGGTTAGAAGCACGTCAATATTTTTTGCATTTGAATCATATTCGTGTAACGCATAAGTGTTCACTAACGGTACCTAGAGTTCACTATCCATGGTTATGCAATTCATCTATGCTTTCAAAAACTAATTGTTTTCAAAGCGTCATTTTCGGTATTCGTATATATGGATCAAGGTTCCTACAAACTTTCTTTTAGTGAACAGTTAGCAAATTTATGTTTAGAAGTTTGAAGCCATTTGTAAAGTTTTACTACAAGATATAATAGTAGATTATGTAACACCAGTCTACAAGACACGAACCACAAAATTACTGTTAGCTAATGAGTAATTTCAAGATGCCCGTACTAATCATTACCTTGTGATTACTCAATTGTCAAATTTAACCAGTATAAGAGGCCAATCAAAAGGCGACTCCAAAAATGCTAATTCATACTGAAAAGGCATAAAGAATCATACAAGCAGCTTGTTGTTAGACAAACCAATTTTTATGCAAATAAAATCAATATCACCTCGAACTGTAGGTAAAAAATGGAACTCAAATTACTTGTTACGAGATTTTATCACTGACATTTTCTTCATTATGCATGGAATAATTAGTTAACATGCTAAATTCAGTTGAAAACTGAACAACTAAAACAACATATAGTAGCTTACATATTATTTATTAAACAGCAAAACTACAATCGCTGCAGGACAGATGGACATATTTGTTTTACTTACAGCACGATAAAGTACAGTGTCACTGCACAGCGTTAAAAAGCAATTCTTTTGCAACTGTCTATTGTCTGGAAACTTTTCCATTGCCGTTAAAGTCATACGTACTGCACGATTTAGTAGATCAATAGGTAACTGATTGCTTTGTTCACCCCGAGTTAAGTTGTAAATCACAGCAGTTCCTGCCAATATCATTTCCATTCTGCGTAAATGTAACCTCATTACGCGCAAAACAGCCTGAAAAGTAAGGAAGATATTTAGTCACTTCTAAACCCATACTACAATACAAGGATATCCAACATGCGAATAAAAGCATTCATAAAGTCATATTAACAACAAAAAGAAAAATATATTAACTGTCTCAACAAAAAAACTGACACGTTGGACATATAACCATTTAAAACTTGGGACCGCAGTTTACTGGTTTGAGTATAAAATAATCTGCATGCGAAGTAAAGCTAAATAGATGATGACTGCACCTATAACTACTGAATTCAGTCACTGATTTCTACTTGTCACAGACCTCACTCAGAAAGCTCATGTTATCCAACAAAAAAACTAAGCTAAGTCAGTAGCCTTATACATGGCGAATGTGACAACTTGTTTTGACCAAGTGGAAGTTTTTCTGCCGATTACTTGAATCAGTCAAAATTACATATCAAAAAATGTCCAATAATAACAGTCAGTCAGTCAGCTACAACGTAGGATCAGGCACATTTATGCATCGGTTCAAGTTGCCGTACCTCGTTAGCACAACAAGATGAACACCGGATTCATAGAAGTAATTAATTTACTGGTGGTAGTAGTATATAAATTATAGGTTGTATATAAGGATATAGTACAGGAAGGAAGAGAGATATGAAGCAATTTTAGTCTCAAGGTTTAAAGGAAGATAAAGAGTGTATACACCTACGCCATTGTGATCGATTCTGAGCCATGTCACCTAGAGTCTCCAACCACTGGTTACGATAGTCACGCGGACCCCAACCAGGTAGTCTGTATCTGCCAACATGGCTCAGACTAGAAGTTAGTGACTTCAAACACTGATGCCATGTTTTGGTTTGGCCGCCCCTAACTCTCTTCCAACAATCCCCAATCTCAGTAATAACAACAACTAATTCGGTTCCCTTGTCTAAAATTCTACATCTAAGACAGATAATTAGTTAGTCCTCCTGACATGTGTGAAGAAATTACTGTGACCGAGAAAGTAAGCAGATATTTAACTAATGAAACAAAGTTATAACTTGAAATACACACTTATAATGATATAAAGTGTTAGTTTACATAGATTAATGAATCTCGGAAAGAATAAAAGACTGAAGTTTGCAACCCTAATCTTTCGGATTACTGCTTATACTTTTACTACGTCTGACACTATGGGATTTGATTCGACAACTACATCTCTGTGCTAATGTGATATGGCAACTGGAACTGATGTATGTACGTACGAAGTTCTACGTTGTGACTGACCGAACTGATTAAGTGCGGATTGCATGGCTTGGGCATTATCGCACAGTAAGACACCATCATCCGCATACTCAAGGTCGAGAAGTCTTTCTCCAGGCAACAGATCCACACCGCCATTACTTACATCTATCAGAGCCACTTCCAGGATGTCATCGATGGAAAAGTTGAAGAGGGATGGTGAGATTGGGCAACCCTGTTTATCCCCACTGCCTGAATGGAACAGGAATTTATTTATTTAAACACATAAATATTGGTACAAGGAAGCGCCAGATAAATATGCGCCTCACAAATCTCATTCGATTTGTGTGAGGGCTGTGATACTACCCAGGTGCCCAGACTGAAGCAGGTGGTTTTCTTAGGGGGCCACACCCCGAGCCTTTGACCTAAAGGTCTAGTCCACAAGGCAGTGGAGCATCGTAAGGAGATGCAGTCCCATGGTAGCCGGTGACCAACAGTTGGTTCATACGCCATTCGTTCCTTCAGGATCCTGGAACCTTCGTTTGTGGTCAAACTCACGGTCACCCGGAGTAGACCGACGGACTTCCATCAGTTGTAAGGAGCCAGAAGAAACCCAGTGCTTGTAAGCGGGACGTTTCGCGAAGCCGCAAGCGGCTTTACTCGCCATTTTCATGGCGTCGTGAAGATGCAACCAATGCTCATCTATACTTTTCGGTGAGATGGTAGCTAGCCTAGAAGCTAGCTCCGCTCGGTACTTACTTGCAACAGAGGTTGCAGCCAGTTTACTAACATCAATCCGTTGATGGCGGTCATTCCTTCGGCCACTGAAAAGTAAGGTGAGATTGGTGCAGACCAGGGCATGATCAGACTCCAGATAGGTACTCCAAAAGGAGCGGCAATCTTGTGCACAACCACACCAGCGGTAGCTGATCATGATCTGATCAATCTGAGTCCAGGCTTGAGATGCAGAGGGACGCCAGGTAGCACATCGGTGATGACTATACCGGAAGTTAGTGCTAGCCAGAAACAGGTTGTGGTCTACGCACAGTTGTAGTAGACGGTCCCCGTTATCTGACCTGCGACCAACAAGTCCCCATCAGCCACTTAAACGACTCTCTTCTGTGTCTAGACACCCAAACTGAGCACTCAAGTCTCCGGCTAGTGCTACAATATCTGTCAGACACACTTTCTGAAAAAGAACAGTTAACTGATGGTAGAATTTATCCTTGATCGCATCCGGGCTGCAATCTGTCAGAGCATAATAGGAGATGACGAATAGACATCGTTTCTCACGCCGATTTCTTCTTGTTTTGATGGAAGTTTTTAATCTAACAGCACATAACCGACTGTTAATGGGGATTCAATCGGTCACTGCTACCTCAACTCCAGTGCTTAGTGCGACACTAATGCCAGCTAAACCAGACAAGGATGCTAGTGTCCACGGATAAACGCACATAAAACAAGCCTTTTGGAGCGACAGGTGGAAAGTGAATTTGTAGTACTTCACCAGAGTCTTGAATACGGGTCTTGGATAGACAGTAGACATAGATACTAAGACTTTCTAAAGACATAGCCAGCCCTATCTGTTGTCCGATCTGCATTAGTGTGAGAACGTTGAAGGAAGTTTGAATGGTGCAAGTGGTTTCAGAAAGACTGGCTGAGTATTCGTATTCGGTGGAAGCATTCACTTCCGATCAGATAGTGACTAGAGATCGTTTAGACAGGACAGTTTCCACCATGGGCGAGCTGCTGTATAAGTTGAGAAATGGGAGTACATGAGGTGGGAATAGAGAGGATAAGTGACATAGTATATAGAAAAAAATGATAGTAATAACAGTAATAATGTGTTATCAAGTGAATGTTAATTGTTTGAATTCTAATTGAAGCGAGCATAGTATTTCGTGACGTAATTGTCATCTCATTAGATTTGTGTGAGGGCTGTGATACTGCACGAGTGCCCAGACCAAGGCAAATGGTTTTCTTAGGAAGCACCACCCCAAGCCTTTGACATAGAGGTTTAACTCGCAAGAAAGTGGAACAACGTAAGGAGATGCAGTTCCATGGTAGTCGGTGATTAACAATAGGTTCATACACCTTTTATTCCCTCAGGATTCTGGAGCTCATGTGCACCAGTGGTTGGGAATCAGACTTTTCCAAATCCCCTAAGTGGATGTTCCGTATACACCAACCCGGTTAAAGCGCCTGACATTCACTTTTCGTCCTCTCAATTTCGTAAACAACACTCCTACCGCGAGACACAATATTTAACAAACTTCCCATTTTAACAAAATTAAAAGTTTACCTTGGCAGAAAATAATAAGCACACAAATATGATACTTACTTGCAGAAGATCTGGTTTGACGGATTCTCGGTTGTTAGTTGCTTCAAAAATACTATGGAGAGCATGTTGAAGATAAAACGCTCTATCTTTATTACGCGTCAAAGTATTTAACAAGAGTTGATCCCCTCTATCTCCCAACATCTACAATTAACCAATTTCATTCAATGAGTTACTGAACAGTATGGTTTGATGAATCAAACAACTTTGCAAAAAGCAACCATGGTTTAGAAAGTATTTTACACATTTTAAGCAAGTCAATAAGAAGCCCCAGGCCCACGTTTGCTGTAAAACGTAAACAGGATGTATCTAAGGCTTTAAGAAAACCTATGATTTCTAGTAGATTTAGCCTAGCACAACTTAGCACTATGGTCGAAGACACTATACAGTTAACATATTTAGGGTACGACTGACAACTGATTCTCATAGTACCTGCATCCAATAATTAAAATCGTATTCGACATCGTTCAGTGAATCAAATTCGGTTATGTTAATTCAAACTATAGCACTTACCAAAACATTTAGGATGCTGAGGGTGATTAGCAATAGCGGAAAATTGATTACTCTTTGTAGTCTCATAAAATAAACGATAAAGTCGCATCCCTGAGCCATGGCTCACTAAACAGTCTTTGTTCACTGATCTGAATGCACGACAGTTGAGATGATATTTTGGTCCCCTTGTTTTATCCACGAATAGCAAAATAAGTCAGTAAGTCCATGAAAATTTGTCTTTGCGGCTTATTTACTTTTTCTAATAAATATCTCATTTTCCCTGTCTTTCTATTGATACATTTCTTGGTTTCTAACATAATAATTTAGCCTTAAACGAAATAACGGACGCATAGCTGATCTCGACATCTTGATTAACTGGCCTAAGACATAATACCTACCAACGTAATTAAGTGTCTCCACATATATGGGACAACAGATACACAACTATAAAACACTTATTTCGTCAACCCTCACAGAAATTTATTTACGGCTTATAACAAGCTAGCTTTAAAATAAATCAAAAACTATGTGATGATCAGTTATTCACATTTTATTGCTCTATCACACATTTATAAACTATTAAATGGTGCTTGGTTGGTTTCTGGCCAACTGTAGTTTGTCAACAGGATATCCGATCTGTAATAAAACATATAAAAGGAACGATCTCATGATGAGTTTGCAGTTCACTTTTCATTAATAGTCCTGGAGTACACCTACTCGCTGGTTTTGCCTAGATAAGAATTGGTTTGTCAGCAAGGCGTGCATCTCCGTCTTTCGAATTTACATAAACACCAGATCATTAAACCAAAATAAGCAGAGATGGATGGTGGCTAAAAGTGGAATCCAGGCCACGCGTTTCGTCCTGCCTGGAACTCGTCAGCTTGATGTACCTGCGTCCCAGAGTTGATGTTCATTCCAATAGGGTGAAACGCGCATCCTGGATTCCACCACTAACCATCATTCATTTATGTTTATGATGCTTGTGATTTAAGCAATGTCGAGGCAATTCGCACAGGATGCACATATGCCAATAAGAAACTGCTAAATTACAGTCCTAAATATCAATGAGAAGATTCAACCGATCCACACACAAAAATAAATTAACCCAAAAGTTATGGTATAAAGACGGATAGAAAATGTTAGAACTAGACAGATACTCAACTTACTGTTATGTGGGCATACTGATGAGAAAGTCTGTATATTCCTTCCAACTCATGTTCATGGCTTGAAAGCCAGGATGCGAACCCAGCGAACGTAAGTCTAGGATGGCTTTCGAGAAAGGCTCTAAAAAACAGTAGTAACTAAGTCACAAATTAGTGTACCTTGCATCACTAAGTTTCAGCCCAAATTGGTTTCCTGACAAATCAATATGCTCTAAGAATGGCAAGGCCTCTGGTGAACAAAATTTATCGACAACCTCGTATCTGCCAACAGAATTTCGCGGTTTGTCAGATACATCAAGTATGCGCAGTTGGTTGAGTTCCACTACAGTACACAGCAACTTCGCGATATCCTCTGTCCTTTCCAACTGCAAGCGATGCATTATCAAACCATTAAGACGATCACGAATATTTAGTAGGGGAGTAATATCTGTTACTCGTGTTCGGGAAATGTTTAGATAACGAAGATTTAAAAGGTCATCAGCAATAATTTGTAAACACTGTGTACTTAGTTCAGTTCTACTTGCATTAAGAACGCTAAGATTCTTGAACCTTCCGAGCGCAACCAGTATAGGTAAATGAGTCTCACATAGAATAGAGGTCCCAGATATATTGAGACACATTAGGTTCTGAACAGTCCATTCACCAAGACAACTTATGATGGTATTTAGATTCACTTTGGTTAGATTCATGGCAGAAAGGCTATACAGACGAAAGTCCTTGAGTACTTTTAAGGATGATGGGCTGACATTAGCTTCCTTTATAACTGGAGACATAAGGTCGACACTCTCTGCATTAAAAAGACTCATTCGATCGTCATCTAGGGCATTTCGTTTGCAAAGCTGTAGCAAGATCTTTTGCGAAGGACGTGCAACCAGCCGAAAATCTGGATAAGGGAACCTCCATTTTCGTTTAACTTCACAGTTTTCACTACTTAAATACGTTAAAACATTCAAATTCTTGCACACGCATCTGACACACAAGTCTTCAAGAGATGACAAGGCATCCTCTGAAAAAAATGACTAGGGATTAGAGAACAGTTGTGTTTATTTACAAATCAAAAGGAAAAATCAAGAATAACAAAGCTTACTTTTGATGTAACTGTCAGAATACAACGCCATCCAATCAGTGACGTATATACCTGGAATACCCTCACATATGACGTTCAGTCCTCAATGTCAAGTATGTGTGTGTGAACTACATCGGTCCACACTATTAGTAGAATCATAAAAGAATCGTCTATCTCTTAGAAATACCAATGGGAACTGACAAAAATCCTTGATACTTGTTAGATTTTAGTGTTATAATTGGAATTTCAAGTTGTGTCCAATAATCCTCAAGTTTTAAGGTACTGACAACCCGAATAACAGAAGGAACTGATACTACGTACTCTGGATTTGTGTATAGTTTTTGAACTTTCTGGAAATGTCACCCGAAATGTTCAGCCTTAGATGTAAGAAATAAGTGTGAAATCTAATCACCCTATATATCAAGCGTTGCCTCATATACCTGAGCCTTGGCTTTCCGAAAACATATCCATCCATTTTCCGGCTTCCCAACGAGATGCGGAAGCTTTTAACAAGAGCTGTCTCTTAGTTACCCGTTGTGATGACATCATTTCTCACTATGGTTCCTAAACCTTTATGACTAGTAACTTCAAACAAAGAGGCCCCATTAATTGTGTAGCCATGAGTCATGAGAATAATCGATACAACACTGTTCTTGTAATTCACTCCTAACGAGCACCTGTTTATCCACTCAGTCATAGCATTAGCTAACTGGGTGATAGATTTCTCGTCAAATCCTCATACCCTTTTTACCAATCGGACCAACAACTGCATACTTACGATCTCTTTGACATATGGACTAGAGAAATGCCATGTTGGACAACGATTGATGAACATCTTAATGAACAGTTGGTTTGTTTGGCTTGAGACGTGGTGTTCTCATCATACTTCCTGACATCCATCATAACCCTATCGTCCAATGTAATGAGGATGCCACAGGTATTGTAGTTTGACAACACTTTACCAGCAACACCTTATATAGTTGAACCGCGCCCACCCACTGAAATCAAAAGTCAGAAGCGAGGATGTTTGATAGATTATCAGTTTATTGAGAAGTGACTGATCTAAACTGTCTAGTGATCACAGGAGAAGTTGAACACAGAATTCCCACTCGTGATCTGGTGCGGATGCATGACCGAGCGCCTTCAGCTCGGTGAATCCATTAGAACTAATGTGGTCAGCATACAATATCGAACACCTACAGAGCTATTGATTTTGAGGATTTATTTACCGCTACAGTACTGTATGATCCAGTCGATGGAGCACTGTGCTATTTTACGAACTAATGATTCCTTTGAACTTCACTACCCGCCGGTTAGGGTAATGTATTCATCTAGTTCTGCTTGTTGTAAGTTGTACTATTTCGAAAATTCCTAGTTAGTACACTGATTGGAATACTTCTAACCTATTAAACTTAAATCAGGCGCATCAAAATATTCTAACATCGCACACCGTTTATTTTTTTGATAACTTAGTGAGTTCCTGTTTGGAGCCACTATTGTGACATGTATATTCAGTGCTTTTTTGTGACGACAAAATAATGATCACATATTTCTCCTATTTATCACACATTATATGGAACCACATTTATATTCAATATATATCGTTCCTCTGTATCAGTGATAAAGAAACATATATAATTGTTTGGTGATATATAACACACACTACCTCAATTTTTGAAATATAGACGCTATCGCTGTCTGTTCTTCTGCTTTATTGGACACGGCTGCTAATTGATGATTATGATAGCATTATAACATTCTTTTAGGCCTTCCCACACTATGTTGGAGTTTTAGCATCATCATCACTAGTAAATAGTGGGTCACTATGATAATCCGCGTCCATCAAAACTGCATTACGTTCTAGATTATCATTTGATACATGTGACATACTTTCTGGTGAAACATGAGAATCTCAATAGTTAGCTTCGCCAGAAATTTCTAGTGCAGAATGATGAGCTCGACTCGGTGCAGCTGCATTCAGTGTACTGCTAAATTTGTTCTCTGTTTCTTCATGGGCGGTTACTGAGACACATTCGCGAACATTTAACATGGCATCGTCTTTATGAGAACTAGAGAAGTCACTGTTCGCACATGCTGTTTCGAGGATAGTGGGGTTTGAATCCACTACCGGGCATGTTTCTGAATTGGACAGTACTGGACCAATGGGCGTATCTTGAGTGATTGCTGTTTCGTTTAAATTACAGTTTGTCGAGGAGTCATGTATGTCGCGATCATTTCCCAGCTCTGTGTACAATTCAGAGATTAATCCATCCACTTTCGACACATATGCAAAGCATTGGTGATTCAGCAGCTCTGTGCGTAAATTGACCATAAACAGCGACTGTAACCGATAGGAGGAGAGATTCCTTTTTGTGTATGAAGCAGCACAGTTATGAAAATTACAATATGACTAATGACCATTGTCGTTCAAGGACACCAACGACAATTCAGGATGCTGATTGCACAAAATAATTATCTGATTTTCGACCAATTGCAGGCTGACTTTGGTTCGATTTTTAACCCGTCGTCGATTGTTACAACTTGTGGTCGAGTGGAGGTCCTTATCATGTGTAGCGTGGTAAGACCGCGAATTATCGCCCGGACCAATGATACCCGGAAACCGTACGAGCAGTCTAGAGTATTTGTCGGTCCTGCTTCTGCCTAACCCAGCCAGTTAAGTCCAAAGCACCAATCTCAACCTCTGCTGTATGAATCGTTATATTTCAAACATGCTGAGTTTATATACCAGTCAAACAGACCACATCACACCATAGAATAGAAAATAACATTTGTACAAGATTTAACTAATTGTGGCTGTGAATAGGGGAGATAGTAGATAATAGACAGGGTATAATTCAGGAATGGTAAAGTATATATTATGGTTCAAAATCAAGCTCATAATAAGGGGGCATGAGTATGAATAATTTAGTTATGTAGCAATTATATGATAAAAATATATGCATAGTATTGGATCATGAATAGATCCCAAAGTTGCCATTTACTAATGTTATCTGGATGGTGATTTGAGAAACATGGATCCGTCTAAACTTGAATCATTACTTGAGCAGCAACTGAAACTAATGAGGATGTTGACAGATATCGAGATTTCGCCTCCCACACAGCTGAGCACATCTTATGCAACCACAGCACCATCAGAAGATGGCATCGCAATTAGCATTGCTGAGTTTCACTATGATCCCGATGCCAACGTTACTTTTGATATGTGGTTCCGGCGTTATGAAGACTATTTAGATTCGATTTTGCTCGGAAGGTTCGGCTACTACTTCGAAAGTTGGGTGCAGGTGAGCTGCACGAGTACTGTAATTTGATCCTGCTTTTTACCCCATGTGATCGCTCTTTCTTAGACATTAGGCTAAAATTTCGGTGACAACTCATCATTGTTTAATACTCGTTATCTATGTTTGAAGCTAATTATGAACGAAGAAGATTCTTTTTTAAGCATGTGGGCACCGTCAACCTTGAATGGGAAAGCCTCTGGTTGAAGTCTTTGTCTGAAAACCACTTTAAAGCTATCCTCCTTATTTGCAGCCTCCAGTCCCAAAATTTCAATGACATAAGAACACGGCTACTATGTCAAGATCCTTAGCTCACCCTTAGTGGCATGGCTAATGAATACCAACACCTCATTAATGTGCAACGAAACACGACTATGATTCAGAGTGGTATGTCTAGTCGATCTGAAGTACTAGTAGTCCAACAGACAACTAATCAGAAGAATGTGCTCCCGCTACATCCAGTCCATCTCACTTCAGTTCAGTCCGAAAGACTAAAACGAATCCCTCCAATCCTTGCTGGCACTGTGGTGCATGGTACTATGTATGAAGCTACTCAATTGGGCAACATTGAAGCAGGAGGTGTAAGATAGTCGGTCACGAAGAGGGGCTTTGTTTTAAAAGGAGGCTAAACAGATCTAGAAGTACCACTGTGTCTGTTACTAAACCCTGTACCACTTCATTAAGCCTAGTATCTTCTTGTTAAAGCTCATCAGCAGGTGAGAGGGAATTCATTACCCCTAATATTAATGGACATTCGTTTAGATAGCAGATAGATACGGCATCAAACGTCAAAATTCTCTCACGTAAAAGTTGGATCAAAATGAACAGCCCAAGCCTGCGGCGAACAACACAAAAGCCTCGTACTGTATGTGATAATTACCTTCACTTGTTAGGACAATTGTAATTTAAAGTTAATTCCCGAGATTCATCGTTTACTGGGCATGTTATATAACGCCAGTCGATCTAAATTTACTTGGTTTAGAGCTATTCGACCAGCTAAAGTTAGCTGATATCCCGCTAAATACCATATGCCACCTGGTGTCACAAAAACATTACCCTGAATCACATACAAGGAAGCTAATGAAGCAGTTTTCATCTATTCTCCGACTTGGATTGGGACGGTGTTCTTCCATGAAAGCAACACTTCGCTTTAAATTTGGGGCTATACCTGTTTTCCGTCCCAAAAGACCTGTGCCTTATGCAACCTCACGAACAGCAGATGAAGCATTGAATCGCCTTCAGCAACAAGGAGTTATTACGACCGTTTCTTACAGTGCTTGGGCAGCAGCGATAGTTGTTATCAAGAAGGCCAACGGCACTATACGTATATGTGCTGATTTTTCTACAGGTCTTAATGCTGCTCTGGAACAGCATTATTATCCTCTGCCAGTTCCCGCAGATTCCTTTACCATGCTGAATGGGGGGAAGTTTTTCGCAGAACTGGATATAGCTGATGCTCATTTGCAACTGGAAGTAAATGAAGCATCAAGAGAGGTGCTTATTATAAATACTCATCGTGGTTTGTTTCAGTATAACCGTCTGCCTTTTGGAGTCAAGACTGCCCCATCTATCTTCCAACAACTAACGTATACTATCCTATCAGGTATCTCGGGGATAGCGGCTTATCTCGATGACGTTTTATTTGTTGTGACGACATTAGAGCAGCTACAGGAACGCACGATATTGGTACTTCAACGCATCAGTGACAATGGGTTTCCGTTACGCCCACAGAAATGCCAGTTTTTATTGCAGTCAGTGAAGTTTGATGCCGACGGCCACAGAGCGGATCCTGAGAACATTCGAGCTATCGAACTGATGCCCACTCCCACTAATGTCTCGACACTACGTTCCTTCATGGGACTTATTACCTATTACGCAGCGTTCACTCCTTCGATGCATGATATTCGCGCTCCATTAAATCGTCTGCTGAAAAAGAACAGCGATTGGAACTGGACTAAAGAACGTGTCGCGGCGTTTCGTAGAATCAAGTTCACAACTAGCTCGGAATTGTCGCTAACGCACTATGATCCATGCATGCCGATCATCGTAGCTGCAGACGCTTCAGTGTATGGCGTAGGTTCTGTTATTTTACATCAGTTTCCAGACGCGTCAGAGAAAGCTGTTGTGCATGCATTCTGCACACTAACCCTGGCAGAAAAAAATAGCCAGATAGAGAAAGAGGCTATTGCAATTGTGTTTGCTGTTCGCCGTTTCCACAATTTTCTGTACGGTCAGAGATTTACACTTCTCATAGATCACGAGCCTCTGCTCGCAATATTCGAGTCAACATCTGGCATCCCAGCCCATTCCGCAAATCATCTTCAGCGATGGGCCTTGGTACTCTTGGGGTATGTGTCAGCTATGTCCACAACTAACCATTCAAATCGTTGCTTAAGCTCACACCACGTTAATCTGATCTGATGTGTCTGTAAACTATCCCTGTTGCATGTGACCTACCAATTGAAAGACATTTTTATCCTATTATATTAGTGTGACTTATAAATTTTATTCAGTTTGGTAAGACACGCAATACTGGTCGGTATGTTTGTGCGTTTCACTTAATGACTGTAATTCTTTAGTTATTTTACTGATATAATTATTTTTATGTTTATAAACAGATAAAGTTTAAAACCAAGTTGTCCTTGTCCTGACTATAGCTTTTACATAGACCCTGGGATCGCCAGTATCGCGTTTACAGTTTTAGTAGTATATCTGTAGGACAAATTAAATCCTACAAAGTTCCGGCCAGTAACTCATCAAAAATTCATTCATTGTGCACTGTTGAATGTCTATGGAGGATCATAAAACGGATCAGATTCCTGAATTGTCTCCCCACTATACAGAAACTCATAATGATGACCAATTCGGAAGAAATAGCTGCCAAATGGATCCCTTGTTAAAGTTAAAATTAGCTAAAATACACTTAGCTCAGTTAGAAAAGAAATTGAGCTAGAAAAGTTACGCCTCCAGAGAAGTGAGGGTTTCGGTCGATCAGTAAGCAACAGAGAAGATGTATCATTGAAAAATCTGTATTTACCGAAAAGGGAAATCTTAAGATTCGACGGTACACCGATAAATTACTGGAATTTTATTAGAAATTTCGAGGAATGCATCGGAAATGAGAATATTGGATTTAGAGCTAAACTAAATTACTTGATTCAATCTTACTGCGTTTGTAAAGGAGCAAGCCGATATGGCTAATACTCGATATGGATTACGTGTCAACCGCGGTAGTAATAGTGGCAATAGGGATGTCGCGGTTTTAAAGGGGAGGATTAGTGCAGATTACAATGCAGCAAGGATATCTTATACGAATAGTAGTGATGACAGTATCCCCTTACGTAGTTCATCCTGTTTGGAGTGCTCAAGTAATCATTCTTCAGAAGTTTAAAGACTCCCATCTAGAGATGAGAAGGTGGAGGAAGTTCGACTTAAGCGTCCAAATATCGCCATTCAGTGAGGAGTTTGGCAAAGGAATGAATAGACCGAACTGTACCGAGTTAACTTTCAGGCAACGGAGCATACTTATAACATAAATGAAGGGGGAAGGAAAAGTCAGGGAACTTAAATATACATTTCAGCTGATTGAAAAGGTGTAGAGAAGTAACGAATTGGTAAAATGGCGACAAAACCTCTCACCCTGTTTCTTACTGCATCTATAAAAAGTACACAGAAGGGTATGGTAGACATAGATATAAAGCTCGAGAAGGTTGGTTTCGTAACCTTAAACTTCACATTATGGTTGATATCACTTCACAAAGAAGACCTCAATCCTAATTAATAAACCTTAAACCTAATCTTGATCGTAATTTCTAGCACCCAAACCTTGTTTAAACTCCTTATCCTAATTCATAGCCTGAACTATTAATCCTAAACCTTTTACAGTATGTTCCTCAAATGATACCTAAAATCTACTAGCAACCTAGTCATCAAGAACCACACCCTTCGTTTGGTAAGCGACAAAAGGCAATGTTGGGTGGAATACAAAAGAACTGGTAACAATAGCGCGTACACGAAATATAAGCCTTTAAAAAACATATGCAAAAAGGTAATAAGAGAAGACAGGCTTCAGTATCAGATAAAGCTTATTGATAAATTAGTCTCCAATCCGAAAAGCTTATTCCGTCATGCACCCTTTCTTCGACAAGCCAAAAACTGTAGTTTCCCAACTTTTAGGTCCTAATGGCCCGACCAGTAACGACAGTGACACCGATAGCCTTGTGGTTGAACAGTACTCTCGGACACTTCAATCAACCCACACTAACTATATTGGTGAAAGCTTCATCTGCCACTGCACAGGACTTTCTTAAGTGAACCTGAGCGCTGACATCGTGTTCCGGAAACTTCAGCACCTAAGAAAAGAAAGTTTTCCTGGTTCTGATATGGTTCATTCTGCTATACTGAGGGAAACAGCTTCAATCTCGGCAACAGCACTTTGCATGATGTCCTCACATTCTCTAAGCCGAGGAACATTACCGGAAATTCGGAAACTGGCTCACATTACACCAATTACCAAAGGAGGTCGAAACAGCGAACGTTCAAGCTACAGACCGGTAGCTCTTCTCTCTATACCTTCGAAAATTATGAAGTCCCTGATGTGCGATGGTATACGCGACTATTTATTACCCTTAAACTTTTTTTCACCCCAACAAAACGATCTCAAGAAGAGTTATTCATGTATAACCAACCTTCTGACTGTGGTGGATAGATGTGGGGTCCCATAGGGTTCATTACTAGGACCTCTTCTTTTCTTGACTTATATAAACTATATTCCAAGGCAAGTATCGCCTGACCTATTGTTTTTTGCTAATGATGTGAAAATTTGGGGAGAGATACTCAACCAGGAGGATCTGACTCGATTTCAAAGTTGGACAGATGACAACGGACTTACTTTTAACACTTTAAAGTGCAAAGTAGTCCGTCTGAGGCATATTGCAGACTACAGTTACAATTTGGGCATCTCCTCTCTAGAAGTATCCCTAGTTGAAAAAGATTTAGTTGTGTTAGTACCCTACGATTTGAAGTCTTACGCCAACTGTGACAAAAATGCCTTTCGAGCAGACCTTGCACTGGCAACATTGAAGCTCATTTTTGGCCAGTTTGACACAACTTCTACTCCTTAATAGTTGCCAAATGCTGAAATTCGCTGTCGGCTGAGCTAGTCCAAACGACTTCTCAGGAGTCCTTTAAGAGGAAACTTGACCTATTCTTAAGGACTAAGGATAGCATCTTGTAATGATTTACCAATTTATTATTTTCCTATCATCGTTAATATACCTAGGTTCTTGTCTAGAGGTATTGGTGATCCACTGCTACTAGACACGGAAGCCCGCTAAGCTTCTATTCCATCCACAGCCATTTGAACCACTTGTACCTGCTCCTCAAGGTCATCAGTACTTGACTTATTTACGACATAGCCCTTTAGGTTTGTTGTGAACTGCAGAAAGGTAACTGATCACTGGTTGATTCTTTGGTCTTCGTTCATCGCGGTTCTCTTTTATATCTAAGAGCGAAATTTCATTAACTAGGAAGTCCAGACATCGACTAAAATTTTAGTTGATGCATGCATTTTATTGCAGAATAGCTGCTAACATTTAAAAGATTACTGTAGTACTTCGGTCAAAATATATCACGTCATATATTTTGGCCATTCGAATAAAATGTGCCTAATTGTCATGTGGGTCTTTGTATGAAAATCTCTCCTCACGTAGTATACACCTAAGCAACCAATGAAGGGAAAATAAAGGCTAACAAAGGTGAAACAAAGCATAACTATAATTATGCTCCGTAGCTTTGAGGTTTTACATTCTTTTGATTGCTTAGCTGGGCGGTTGTTTAATTTTAGTTCAGTGAATGGACTGGATCCAGTCCTTCATCGAGGATGGTGTGTTATGTTGTGCTTTTACTGATAGACTGCATCGCTAATCCACTACCAGATCACTAAATAATAACAAAACGTTAAAGGACAAATTAAATGACTCCATCGTTTCTCCCTATGGTTTCTTCATGTTTCAATTCATTAATCATGAGCTAGTAACCAAATGCATTGTCCTTATAGGTTTTGATAGCTGCCGCTTCTTACCCTAAGCTTTTTAATGTAGCCAGTTCTTTGACTTTTAGGCGTCGATCTAGACATTTATCACTGTCATCTACCTTGACTTACCCAACTGGTTAAAGTTGGTGTTGATGGGGATCAGATTTAATCACTTCGTTTTCGTAAGGTTTTTGTTTGTTTAATGAATCTGCTTGAAGTCATATGCTTTGCGGTTAAGATATACAAGGTATTTATATTTTGTGCATCGGTATAACTGCATACACTGAAAGATTTGTGGGAGATATTCGTTTTTGAGGAATTTATACGAAGTTTCTTGATGATGGATAATAGCCTATCTTGAGAGTCACTGATTCGTAGCTTAATTAAAAGCATTGTCTTGTTAGCACCAGATGCGCATCTGCGTGTTATTTAAATGCCTTAACTGCTGGCTTTTTTGTCATTTCTGTGTGTATGGTTGAACCTATTATATTATCCCTGAAGTTCGGTAGCCATCTATTATTCTAAACTTAAAGTTGACTAGTGGTTGTGTGCTTCCATTGAGATTTGTTATCAGTGGAATTATGTGGTTATGTGTTGATATTGTCTAAAAATACAAAATTAGCTCAGAGGACTCAACCTCACTAAAATTGTACGGAAACTTTGGTAATAAATGTTAGAACTATTACGCTTCTTTTCCCCTGGTTTTAGACAGTTATAAACGAAATATTATAAAATTGTGTGCTCTGAGTAACAACCAATTTTTTCTCTTTTTAGGGAATTATAGCCGATCATATGTTCCTAGCCACTTCTGATAAAACTAGAAAACTAACTCATACTTTTCGTTGGGTATACAAGTATTTCAGCACATTGAAAGAATTTAGAGATTACTATGAGGTCTTAAATGTCAAAAGTACAGCATCCCTAGAAGAAATTAAAGCTGCCTACTTAGATCTATCCAAAAAGGTTCTATTCACGTCTAACTAATCATACCTTTATCAGTACCATCCTGACAAGTGTTTAGATGATAAAGCAAAGAAACATTTTGCCGAAGTAAGCGAGGCGTATTCGGTCCTCGGAAGGTCGGAATCTCGTCGAGAATATGACTTAAATAGAAAAGTCAATGCCTTTGGTATTAGTGCTGATGCTTTTCGAATGCATTATCCTCACCCACCATCTGATCTTGACAAGGTTGGTTTGGAAGCTTATGAGAACGAAATGCGAAGGTTAGTTCTGCCTGCTCCTTGATTATCCAATAGATTATTGTGTTCACAGGTATTTATATTATTTTTATGAGATTTACTACGTACAAAAATGTATAAGAGCCCTTTGTTTGGTGTATCAGTTTGTTTCAATGGATTAGATTTTAATAGGTTGTTATGTGGATTCGTAATATTGACCCCTCACTTTCTTTAATGTCTTCAGCTTAGAATCACATCCTTCAACAGGGGTAAGCACCTAGCCTGTTAAAAATTAAGTCGTAAAAGCACCGAATTTTGAGCAATTAGATAAGGTTTACACCACTTGATTTAACCATTATAAAAAACTGGTGTACTTAAAGCATGTATTTTACCCACCCTTCGTATCATATATGTATCTGCTAACCTTCCTCTTCACATTCATAAGCTTACAGATGACTACGTGCGATTATTATTAGTAAATTACGTTCCAACTCACCAGGGAAAACTCACTGTGTATACGTAGCGTGTTGCAACTGAAGTTCCTATTTTCAATTCATTAAGTAACAGTTACCGTTATGTAAAACGAATATTATTTTTACGAAACATTACGCGATCATGTCCATTAGTTATTTAAATGGGTTCGTAATCAAGTGCGTGTACATTAGTGAATAAGTTTAACTGGTGTGTTAATAAAACATACTTAACATCAGTTTAATTAACCTTAAGTCTCACGAACTCTTCATAGCGAATACAATAGCGACCCATGGATCACGCTTTCCTGTGGTAACAAGTTTTAACTATATTAGTTACTAGCGCAATGCAGGACACTTCTTTCATCTTGATTAGGACTGATTGACCAAGAATATCTGTATTTACTGACTGACAATTAAAACTGAAGTGGAGTATTTTTAACATCAATGTGCTGCAGGAGTTAAGACAATCGACATTGTGTTGGATCATTTCTGCAAAATATGTACATTGCTATCGACCAGTATGATTTCGTTTAAAAAATCTATATCTCAAGAGTTAAATAGGGGAAACATATTATGGTAATTATATGCACACCAGTACCTAACTGTAGGTATTAAATCTTAAATTATAGTTGTTCCGTAAATTTTAGATTTACTATCCAATATCATGGCTTCATTTGATGTTACACAATAACTGTTAATTTATGTAGCTTAGTAACTGTAACTTCATACTAATGGACCTACATGGTTAGACAATACTGGTTCCCATTTTAAATATGAATAATGAATTGGAGTTAGTTGGTGTGGTTACAGTAATCTATCACCGCCATCTCGTTATCTGGCTGAGGTTTTAAAGACACTACTTGGTTCTTGTTATGTTCAACTAATTATCCGTATTTCATCAATTTATACGTTCAAAACTAGAAAAGTTATTGTCTTTTTGTTTTCCGACCGACTACAACTAACTAACAGGTTTTAAAATATCTTACCTTAAAACATAATACCTGTTAGTTATCTCTGGTGATTCATCCTAGTAAGCGAAAATAAAATATAACCATTCAAAATGACATGTAGTTAATTTCAACTAACTTTTGAATGACTGTAATAAATACTTTTAAGTGCTTTCATCCATGTAATACCGGTAACATAAATAACTGATTTTGATTTGAAATTATGTGTTTGACTTTTTAGCCTGCTCAATTGATTGGCACTTTTATTATGATATCCCGTTATGTAAATGAGACTAAAACTCATTAGGTTATATTAAATTTCTATGATAATCATACAAACTTTTACATCATAGATATGAATGAAACATCGATAACCGTGTTTATCTTTGGAAGTCTAAGTACCTAAATTCTTTCCATCTTTCATGTATACTTTAAGAATGTGAAGGTTGTCAAAGTAAATCTTGAAATCCAAACTTTCGATATCAAAGAAATTAATGTTTATGATAATACTTTCAGTCGTCATCTTTCTAATGGAGTTTGTAACGGTTTCGGATATGCCGTTGTTAGTATTTTGACTGAATTAAAACCAGTCTTAGTTGACATATGTTTGTGCTGTGCAGATAGCCTTGATATTAGCAATTGACACAAGTTTATATGAAATAGATGAACAGGTTCCAAATAGAGTGAAACGCTCGCCTTGGAATCCACTGCTAGCCAAATCCCATCTGTTCTATCTAAACATCATCTTTTTGTAAAACTGAACTATTTGTTTAATTTGTATTCAATGGATAAACACCTTTATTATTAGAGTTTTGATAACCAAAAACTGTTCAATATACTTTAATATCATCAGTTTTGCCTGTCAAAATATAATCTTCATTCACATTTTTTTCTTTGTATCTTAGTGGTTCTGTTTTTACTCTAATCTAATAGTGTATGAATTAGTTTTTCTTTTTTGTGTCATTTGTTCTTACAGTTCACACAACTTTTTGACTTTTCCCCTCTTTCTATTCGTATTAGAAGATGGCTGGAAAAAATGACACAGTGGGCAAAAGCACAAGGCCAGTATGAACTCGAGAGAGGTAGAGCAATGAAACCTGTCACTGGTGTTTATCAATTTGTTCATCCAATAACCGGGTATACTTATACTAATAGTTTCATTTTCATTTTGACATTTTTAGCTGGTGTTATATTATGTATAAAATCACTGTCATAGATAAATCATACATATTTTATTCTGTAAATTTTTAAAAGTGTAACTATCTGTAAATCGATTCACCTTGTCACTAAGCAGTTTATTTATATAGATATTTCCGAAAAGTAATTTGTAAGCTTTTATTCCTCTAATACTTTCTTCACGAAGTGTTAAGAACTTATAGCCTCACGACTTGTCGACATTTCCCCTATCTATTTAGGTATACCGTTATATGAAGAATTCACGGTTTCGATGTATCAATACTTCAAGTATTTTTTTATTGTTCCCGGGCACAAGAATTATTATCATAGCATGAAGTCATAGTATGTGAATAGTTCAACTAGTATACCGGAAACTAACCGTCATTTACTGCAAGATTATATATATATATATATATGCGCGAATAAGTTAATTTAAGAAAACATGAACCTGTATTTGAGTGACCCATAAGGGATCTAACAGTGCATATTTTTCATCTAAACAGTGGGGATTTGTCGAACAGAGGTTGTCCTTCCAAACATTTCCACGGGACTTTTAGCTCGTATGCTGCTTCATTAACTAGATAACCATTTTGGTCCTATGAATAGCCATTGCAGTGTTTCATATTGTGGACTCATCTCTGACCGAAATTAAGAGCGTATTTTAGTAGACCCCAATTCTGGTTCAAATATGGTGCGCTCACATCGAGACCTAGAAGTTCTGAGTTAGATCTCTAACAGAATCGGTTGTTGCTGACGATTCGTGCCGCCCGACCGTTGCTGCTACTTTGATGTGATGGTCGGGCCTGCTTACCATGATGAATCAATCGAACTATAGTACCTGGAACATTCGTTCCCCAAGGTCCTATCATGCCAAACAGGTCTGTTAAAGAGCGGTAAGACGAAAAGCAGCAAACCCAAGGTCCGAGGGCGATGTTGTACTGTTGATTGTACAGAGGTGTGGCGATAGTAAGGTTTTTCCTTCAAACAACCAGCATAACAGCGATGCTGCCTTCCCACAAGGAAGAGTGGTGTTAGGAAAGGTCTACCCTAAAAATGCACACCTCATCTAATCTTATGGATTTCCGTTTCCGGTGGTAAGGTCCCAACAATTACGAAAGTAAATCGAAACATACTGACGAAAAGATTGTGTGTGGTTGGCCTCAAGCAGTTGTCCCTTGGACACTTCGGTCACACTCTCAGGTCACTAAGACCATCTCTAACCCAGTTTCCTTTTCAGGTACCACTAGAAAAACCGTTCCACAATGTGGGTAACCGGAAAGTGATGACCGCCCTCTCATGTCTAACAGCACTGAAGATCACTGTATTCATAATCAGTTTTCCTCTTCAATTCCTACTATTCCTCCTGCCTCGACTTTCAACTCTAAACTTCCTCGTTTGACTTCCTCCTCAAGTGTCACTATGGCCAACGATTCTAGTGTCTTCGAAGCACACATACAGGATCCTAGTGTGGTTACTCACTTGGCGTCACCTAGCCGAAATGGGGAGGCCGGTGAGGCATAGTTTCTGTTTATCTGTTGACCCGATGGCTAATTCTCGTAGACTGGTGAGTGTAGACATAGCACTGAGTACGAGGGCAGAAGAAGTACTATGAAAATGGATCCCCCTTAGCAGTCGCCTATGTTCTGTTCTGCTAAACGGGTCCGTAAGAACTCGGAAGGATAGTTACACACGTCGTTGCCTTTTTGTCGTTTCTGTATTCGCTCCTACTGATTGCATCCCGGATAAAGTGAAAGATGACTTTTACAGAAAGCATTCTGAACTTTTGCGAAAATACATACACTCAGACATAGTACTTGTGGCAGGCGACTCTAATGACCAAGTAGGTAGATTAAACCAAAGAGAAAGACATTTAGGTGGATATTTTAGTAGTCCGGCCCAGCGAACAGGCAATAGTGGTCGTCTGCTGTTGCCCAAACTGTCGTTTGTTTCTGATAAGCACTAACTTTAAGCATAAGGAGAGACATCGTCTAACTTGACGACTCACTGCACCAAACCAACTGGGCTGAGGTCGACCATATTGCCATCAGTCCTCGTTGGAGAGGCTCAATAGAAGACTGCTACTTGTTCTGGAATACATGTTTAGACTGTGATCATGCTCTAATACTAGTACGCATTTGCTTGCGTCTCACTGGACACAGAAAAGCCACATTAAGGAAAGCTATTAGAGTTGAACTCAGTGAAGAAAAAGCAGATGGTAAATTTCAGGAACAACTGAAGTCACACTTAAGTAATTTCGAAGACGAGACTGGCCGAGATGTTGCTTGGATAGATGTACGATTAGCTGTGGAAACAACGGCGACATTTATTTGTGAGACAGACCCGCGTGCAAAGTTTCTTACAGTATTGAGGGCACTAACGCGCTATTTTGCCAGATACGCCACACCTAGTATGCTTACTAGTGATGTTTCGGAACTTTACGACACTGATAAGGGCCATTATACCGAAAAAAGTTTAGATCAACTTTTCCACAACCTTGAGCTGCAACGGGGCTCAGTGACAAATGTTGCTACAGATGCGAAAGGTCATTAGTCGACGGACCTTTGACTAGAGTCTGTTTAGACAGCTCTTCCTTTCTAAACTTCCTTGACAGGTGTAGGCAGTCCTAGTCTCACTTCAAAGACGCACTTGGATGAACTGGCTTCACCTGTCGACCGGATTCTGGGAATCGCCAGAACTCCGGAGTCGAGTCTTATTTTGTCGAAGAAAAGCCTCAGACAACACAAAACGTCAAAGGTCTCTGTCATACACTCACTCGTTATCTCTGGACGCTTATAAACTTCCCGAGGAAGCCCATCACGGAAAGGATCTGTCTCTAGACCATGAGAGAAAAATAATCCTGATTGGTGCTGGTAACGATAATTCTGGTAAGTGCGGTAGAATTGCAGGAAACCCTACAGTTTCCTAATCTCCAAACCGGATGACACGGAAAAGCTTTCGAGAAAATCCACATCCGATATGCGATAACGGTGACTCTTACTCACTAAAGTAAATAGACCGTTTCACATGGTGAACAGAAGCAGCGCCTAACAGAGAAACTACTGACAAAATTTCCCTGTATCTTCGTCGAACAATAGGTAGAAGATGTCGGCTGCCTTTAAATTATCATCGTGAAAGCTAGATTGAGTCTAGGCTTTTCCGTCGTCTTGCTACACTACCAGGAGTTTCACGATTCCGAACGACCGCTACCGTTCACAAGCTAACAGGTTGATAGAGTGATTCCACCTATAATCAAAACCTTCATTTTTATCTGCCAACGTACAACAGCGGACTGACGCTCTTCCACTCCCTTTGCTTGATATTCTCAGTGCAGTGAAAGCTGATGTTGGATACACTTCAGCGAAACTCGTTTACGGAAAGGCACTCCTCATTGCAGGAGAATTTCGGGGTCGTATGGTGTGCCTTAAACTTACTTTTGAAAGGCTGAGTTGGTTTTAGTTAAGTTTGGAAATTCCCCAAATATATCTTTGAATTTTGCAGTTGTTACTGGGAAGGGGTTGTAGCGAAACCCGAAAGCTGGTGTAACTTTCCTTACCTCATATGTAGTACGGAGTTCCATCATGCCTCAAACGTCGTTTCTTAGTGTCTTTATGTGAAGCCCAAAGTTGTCCAGGCATAAACAACCTTCTTTGTGACCTAGACCTTGGTTGTCGTGGCCCATTGCTTCCTTTTCTATTGTCTCTTGCATTTCTGGGACAGGCTCTGTGGGAATTTTAACACTGGTGATGAATTCTGCTATGATTAAGTCTTTTTACCATTATTATTCACAAGTAGCTTATGGGTACATAAGTGTCGTAAAGAAACCATTGCGGGTTTCTTCAGAAATAAAATTTTACACAAGTTCCAATAAGTTGCATAATATTTGCCATGTTTAAACACGTTTTGTAGAAATTAGAAGAATATTGAGTTGACCTTAGAGAAAGAAGAAGGAAAAAATCAAGGAAAGAAACATGAAATACTCAAGTAATCTAATAAGCGTGTCTGTGATAGCAAAATAAGAATAAACGGTAATATGCGTATACCAAATGGGTCAAAAAATAAATGGAAAGATAAACCGTTGTTGCAGTTTGATTCTATGACAATAAGATTGTGTGCAGTAATAGTTTAAAATAATGCTATGAAAGTCTTCATTAGTTGCAAACGATAATCAAATATCAGTTTATGTGGGTCATATATACGTGGTGAAGGTAAAATAAATCTCAAAAATTATTTATTTAATCCTAATGTGTCTTCAGTTATGTATTAGTCATATATGCAACATATTGGTAATCACCCATGTATTCAATAGATGACAAGAAGCATCTTCGAAAAGTCATCAATGAGACTTTGGAACCGGGCTGTGATCTCACCGCAACGGTGTTTTACTGGGAGTCTGTTTCACACGGTTGTATAGCTAATAGAAAAGAAATCATGGCGTAAGTCTGTGTAGGTTCTCAGAATTGATCAAAGTCTTTCTTGATTGCACAGGTTGTGGGATGATTTAATAGAGTACGAAGTCGTGTATGTTGAAGAGTAGGAATTATCATTTATAAGTCGGTAGATAAAGACGAGATTTGGTTGAATATGCTTGATTCAGAGAGTACCTAACTGGAGATGCTAACATCTTTGGTGGTAATCCTTGTTGTCGAAATACCTTAAAAGAGTGTTAGTGAATCGCCTATGAAAACCTTCGACTTTCATCAAGTCATTACACATGCAACCACTGTAAACTAGAATACCATATTCAAGAACGGGTAAGATACATTTTGTATATGATAATAATCACTTCTATGTTACTGAGATTTATCATTATGAATCCAATGAGCTCCGTTTTGTAACATTTGAGATCCAGTGTGCTCGAGAATGTTCAAACTAATGCTATACCTCAAACCCATGTCATAAAAGTGTTGAGAGGACTCCGTATGTCTTTTCATACACACATATTTAGGTTAAGACTGTGGCCAATGTTAATAAATCCACTTTTTCAACGTTAAGTGGTAGATTTCAAGGCACGGTCTATTCGTATAACTTGTTTGCGTCTTCTTGCATTACCGTTGGAATATAGTTTTCGTTGGTATGAGACGAATGAATTACCTGCTTTTAGATCATCGGCAAAAAGGAAAGGTTTGTTGCGTTGAAAGAGTGAGTGCA